CCGAGTTTTGACCGAACTGCAACAACCCCAGAAGTGGATACTACCCCACTCCAGACTCCAGCAGCACGAAGTCTTGACCCCGAAATTGGAGCATGCTGGCATGGATCTTTGGTGCGCTGGTGATTGGTTAGGTGCAGCCGTACCGGTACCACATTGTTACCCTCCAGCGAAGAAGGTCATTGCAATGCGATGACGATATCTTCGAAGAACATCCCAGACTACTCAACCGTACCTCCACTTCTGCATTCTCAGGAGGCAGGGTACGACGAGTCGTGCAAATTCACGAAATTTGCCAAATTTGCCATTTTTACGTTACTTCTGCCAGAAAAACAAAAGGTACCACCTAGCATGTCCATGTGGATTTAACTACACACAAGACTCGCATTTAATTGATTGTTTACTTGTGCAAATGCTGTGCGCGAAAACAGCCAAAACAGCCAAAACCACGAATTCGCGGAAAACCACGGTTTCGATGCTTCCGACAAACACAAGTGCCGTTTACTTTGCTTGACTCCAGACCTCTTCTTTGACGACGACATAACCATCTGCTGACCGATCAGCCAGGGATCACAAATGGGCTCCACCAGACATCGCATACATTCTCGCAACTCCACCCGACCAGCAGCACAACAGTGTTGCCCTAACAATATTGATTGAATAGCTTGTGTACCCCACACTCCACCGAAAAATCAAAATGCCCATTGCCAAGACCTTTGAACCGTTTGTGTGCGGTGGCTCTGCTGCTACCTTTGCTTCGGTAGTGATTCACCCGATGGATCTGGCCAAGGTGCGAATGCAGCTTTACGGACAGTTAAATCCTGGCAAACCGGTTCCCTCCTTTGTGACCATTATCAGCAACTCGGTCAAGGAAGGTGGCATTGGTGCCGTTTACAAGGGAGTTGATGCCGCCATTGGACGCCAGCTGGTCTACGGGACGGCCCGTATTGGATTGCATCGGAACTTTTCTGATATGCTGGTTGCAAGGAATGATGGCAAACCCATTAATTTCCTACAGAAGGCACTCTCAGGAATGGCCAGTGGATCCATTGCTGTCTGCATTGGAACTCCCTTTGATATTGCACTCGTGCGATTGCAAGCCGATGGAATGGCTGATCCCAAAGATCGTCGCAACTACAAAAATGTCTTTGATGCCCTCATACGAACCAGCACCGAAGAAGGAGTCGGGGCTCTCTACAAGGGACTCTTGCCCAATATTTTGCGAGGCATGTCCATGAATGTTGGTATGATGGCCTGCTACGATCAAGCCAAGGAAACCGTGGCGGCATTGCTCAACGACCCAATGACCGATGGACCGTCTCTTCCCACGCGATTGGGGGCATCAGCCACGGCGGGATTTACAGCAGCACTCTTTTCTCTTCCCTTTGATCTTGTCAAGAGCCGATTGATGGCACAAAAGCCCGATCCAATTTCAGGAGAGATGCCCTACAAGGGAATTCTAGACTGTGCCATGCAGATTGCGAAAAAGGAGGGGCCAAAAGGATTTTTCAGTGGTTTCTCAGCCTATTACGCTCGTTGTGCCCCACATGCCATGATCATTTTGCTGTCCATTGAATCCATTACCAATGCCTATCGAAAGACATTTTACTAGAAAGCGGAGACTTGTTCATTTCTTTTTTCAAACAATCTGAGACATTTTTGACGACAATACTCACACAACGGAAGCAAAGGAATGCTCACAGCAGCTGGTATTATACTGTAGCGCAATTGCACAAATAACACACTTTTTTGCACAGTTGACTAAACTACCGTAAGGTTCATCTCTTCTTTGAAGTTTTGGTAACAATCTAGTGGTTCATCTTGCAACTTGGATTAGCGGCAACTGTTGACAGAGTACCAAGCAAATCACAGAAAGGTGGATTGTGATAGCACGGCTCTTCTCTTGCTTCAATGAACAGAATCGAATCACTCTTGGCAAAGTAGACGGATTCGTCTCGGGTAGAGAGTAGCTATGAAAGCAATGAGCGACAAGCTGCGCACGACGACTCTATGAACATAAAAATCTCGTGATGCGACTAGTTAGGCAGATAGACCTGCTAGCTCGAGACGTCGTCATGGCATAAAAGCCCGTGGCGGCTGTATACAACGAATGGGTAGAATCTTTGGTGACACACATGATTACTTGGGTTAACGGCCTCTAATGGACGAACCAATCTAGGCACATCCTACCTTCCTGTTGAGCCATCCAAAGGTTCGACATTGTCCTTCAAATCACTCCGAGCTCTTCAGGGCTCAGGAACAGGCTCCTCGTCTTCTTGAGGGGGCAGCCTCAGTGGACTCCCTCCTGTGGCGCCACCCCTGGCTCCTCCTGTAAACAGCCTCAGTGGGTTCCTCCTGCGGTGCTGAGTGGGTCGATACCTGGCGCAGCATCCGTGGGCTGTTCCGGTTCCGACTCTTCCTGAGGAGCTGCCTCTGTGGGCTGTCCCTCAGGTTGGGGTGGAACCTGCTCGTTGGAATCTTTGGTGTTAGCTCCTCCTGTTCAAGAACTGGCAAGGTTGCATCTTTGGGCTGCGGAGGGAGCCAAGGGCCAGCTATGGTGGATGGGACCACGGCAAGGAGGAGGGCAAATGTGGCAGTGGAAAAACACGTGTTTGCTTATTTATTCATGTTATTTTCAGTGAAAGTTTGGATTTGGTTGTGATTGTGAGTTGGAGGGTAAAACCTGGTTTGATGGCTGCTTGCATTGCTTTGGTTGTTTAGCCTTTTTGTGTTGTCCTTTTTGATTTGTGACAGGTTTTACAACCTGAAGACCGAAGACGTGACATGGAACTGGTATCCTACTGGGTTGGATACTCAACACCGGTAACTCGCCTACCCTCCGTACCACCGGAACGAGCGCAGACAAGCTGCACTCGCCCTATCACCCATTACACAATCATCCTGTCAAACTTGTACATGATCAATCCCTTGCTCCTGAGATCATTTGCAATCTTAACTTGTTCTGGATCAGCGACAAAGGAAACGTTGCCCCCGTTGGGAATCTTTTGCTCATACCCCCTCAATGCAGCTTCAAAGATATATGTGATATCAATTGCTTGAATGGGTGGCAGTGCTTCTCCTGGATGCTGTGCCAACCAAGTGTCGACAAGGCGCGATTTCTGCACAAACATGGGCATGGTTCCATCACTGGCCTTCAAGGCTTCTACATAGAACAAGGGCACTTTCCCTTGATCTTTAAACGCTCGCTTATCAATGCGCAATCCATCGTCTCGATTCTCGTTGGTAGGAATGATTTCCACGACCGAGTCCAAATTTGTGTTTCCTCGACTAGGAATTCGTTCTCGCTTTTGCAAGCCCAATCGGATGGCAATATCAGCGGGCACAGTAACAATGGTAGCATCTGCCCAAATGTCAGCATAACCTCCTTCCTTGGCAGCCTTTTGCGCGTCACTCAAAACAATGACGGCCCCTTCCATGGACGTGAAGGCAAATCCCTTTGCCATTCTCTCCTCTTTTTTGATAATCATGTAGGGAATTCCTTCCGTATTGACAATGCAAAACACCGGGACATTTCTGAGTCTCGTCAACATGGTGTTCAAGACTTCGGATACTGCCAGTGATGGTTGAGGGTTCGACAGCAAAAGTCCCGTGTTGCTCAGCAGCGTTGTTGCAGTTGCCAAAGAGAAGAGCGTGCGTCTGTTTTGGTCTTTGGATTGTTCGTTGTCGTCTGCTAAAACTTCATTATTGGATGATCCTGGAACAGCATATGCCTTCGATCGGATCGTCGCTGATGGGTGAGAAACTGAAAATGCCAGCGATTGTGATATCCATAGAAGTGAAACAAAAAGAGACAACAGTGCTGGCTTCATGGTGGTTGCTGTGCTGATATTTCTAGTCTGGGAAGAGGCTAACTAACTAGCTATCAATCTTCGCCAAAGGATGGTCTATGAACGAAGCTTCAATCGAGTAAAGTCAAGTGCTTTCCCATTCGCCAGAGTGATAGATGGGAGAGCAAAGAAATGAGGTCTTGATCCGCGTTAGCTCAACTTGCAAGATCCCCATTGGATCTTTTGCTTCCACGTGGAATTGTACCGTACCCGCAAAACACCTCAGAGCTGTAAAATGGGGAGCGAGGCCAACGAAGAGGTCGTATCCAACAGGCTTCGGGGTGTGTCTTGACGCATTTGGTTTGTTGGCAGCTGCTGGCATCGATTTGGCTGGCTCTTCCTCTTCCAGTTCATGCTGCTTGATTGACTTGAAAGTAGGTGAAGAATAACTAAGTTGTCGGGGGATTTTGGTCTTCCTGTTTTTTACTTGAACTAGCTGGCACTGGAAGAGTTTTGCAGAGACGATTGGGCCTGTTCGAACGATGGCTATTTCTGTCATAGTTTGACGAGGAACTGGTTTCTTGTCACAGACATTTTTTGTGTTCAACCACCGCACCGTCTGCGGATTCGGGAACAACTGAACTAATAGTAATCCTTGCCCTTCCGGGAAGCAGGTTTTCCACCCTTGGAAGTTAGAAGAAAACATTCCTTGTCGCTACGAAAGCTGTTACATTTCTACCGATCCTTTGATCATGAGCAATCAAACTTGTACGGTACCGATACCAGTACGATCCCTCCGAGGTCGAACCATCTGTAGATAACTTCCCTACCACACTCTAAGCCCCTTGTGTGACAATCTCCCAATACTGCATGATGTATCAAACCGGTACAGTGGCATCAATCAACCCAACCATGAGATCTTGAGCTCACTCATTTTGTGGCGAGAAAATTGACACCTTGCTTCCTGGAGAAGAAATATATATTTAACCCCGGTGAGTGTTCCGGGGAACTTCTGTGGACACTGGAAGAACCGCGGCCTACTAGTATGTCATAGCCGGAAGAACGCAGCGGGAGCGCAATACTGGCTAGTAGTGTATCAACACCACGACACATAAAAAGCAACCACACCCCACACCCACACACAGAAAATCCGACTTCAGGCGAAGACATCACTTCGTTCATCGAGATGAGATTTCGTTGCTTGTTCTTTAAGAGCGTTGTGCTCTTGGCTGCTTCCCATGTATCCCTTGCTGATAAAGGAGACCCAATCCCCTGTAGTGTAGCCTCAGATTGCCATGCCCTCCTCCAGTCTAGCTCTGCGTGTGTGGATGGATTCTGTACCAATCCATTCCGAGGTGGGTGCTTGAAGCAGCTCAAGGAGGGATGGAACAAGACAAGGGCTTGTCACTCAGAGGATACTGAGGAGAATCTCCAGCACTGTACAATCCCCGAATTTGAGGATGACTATATGGAGATCCGTATCTCTGCCCTCAATTGGCAATCCGCATACTTCAATGCCTGGATCTTGCAGATTCTGCTTTCAGAGCTTGTTGGTGTCCCATCCACAATCGAAACAGGGAATGCAGCTGGCAACATGGATTTCTATGATGCCACCAGACCGATGGAGCTAGGGGATGCCCATGACTGGGAAGGACTTCGTCGGGCACAAGAAGTGGGAGATTGCCGTGTCTTGAATCATCTGGAGATGACTATCAGTCCTGCTCTCATGTAGTTCCAGAAACATGCTCGTCAGTAGCTGCCATGAGACGGGAGATGGAGGGCGAAGGGATTATTGAGAAGTCAGTTGGAATAGGTAGCATTACGGAAGAAGGTTGGTTCATTCCCAAGTTCACCTTGGCGCATGATCCCTCTCTGGCTAGCTATGCTGGTCTGATGGGACCAGAAAACCGCCAGAAGCTGGCAAATACCTTTAAAAGGCCCACAAAATGGAACGATTACTGCCTACTTGTTTCTCCCGACCACTGCAACACTCCTGACAGCGTGGCACAGCGGCCACCCACAGTTGAAGAAGAGTCCAGTTACTTTGTGGAAGGTTCCTACACAGGCTACTTTCGAGCCACAGAGAAGAACAATTGTGACCTGAACAACTCCACATTCAATTGCACTGGCGAGTTTATTGACTATCCTTGTGGTTGGACCAGTTATGCTTATGCCATGACCCATCATTTGGATATTGCCTTGGAAGGAAGTGGGGATGAACCTGTCATCCATGGATACTCATACCGGGAAATGGGTCAAATCTGGGCTGCTGCCAATGCCACAAGATCTCATGTGATGATGCAGTCATGGAAGCCTGATACGCTATACCAATCATGGGTTGGCACTGAAGCTGCCTGGGTGAGGGTAGATTTGCCCATGCCCACATTGGAATGCCTTGAGAACCGTCCACCAAGGGAACTCCGCTGCGATCCTGAGGCTGACCCCACAGAGCGATTTGGGTCCCCTTTGGGCACTTGTGACTATCACACATCCTTACTTGAACGGATGGTGGTGAAGAAGTTGCACACTGAAACGTTTGACCCATCCATTTCACCAGAAAAGCGTAGCCCTGGCTATGACCTCATTCGATCGTTCACAATCAATGAGCTCCAAATGGGGCAAATCATGGACTACTGGACAAAAATGGAAGATCCAAGAGAGGCCACCTGTCAATGGGTTGTGGACAACTTTGATGCCTTGGTAACCACTGTTCCACTCACTTATCCACGCACTATCGAGGCAATGAACGACCATCTGGAAGGTCCTCTTTTCTATGCATCACTTACTCTTGCCATCCTATCTGTTGCAACGGTTCTCACAGCTGCTGTTGTGACCCATTGGAAGAGGGATACCAGAGCAATTCAGTTTGCTCAGATTGAGTTTCTTTGGATTGTATTGACTGGTCTCCTCATGGTTTCAATTGGATCTATGATCATGGTTTTGCCAGTCCGTAGTGATGGGATTTGTGTTGCAACTGTGTGGTTGGTGGTTCTGGGATCCACCTTTGAGCTTATTCCACTCCTTGTAAAAGTGTCAGCTTTGAACCGCCTGATGCGGGCTGCCAAGAAGATGAAACGTGTAAAGCTGGAAAGGGGCTGGCTCTTTGGCGCTGTGTTTGTGATCGCCTTTGCTGTGGCCATGTTTTTGGTGGTTTGGACGGTGGTCGATCCCTCCAAGCGATCCATTGCCCATGAACTAACGATGGAGGAGGCAGAGGCGGGTGAAACCATTGTGGCTGCCCGGTGCTATTGTGCCTCTGAATCGGATGGTTGGCGTTACACCTGGGTGGCAGTGAATATGGCCATGCTGATTTGTGCCACAGTCCTGGCTGTCCAGACAAGGAATGTCCGAGATGAGGTGAACGAGTCTCTCACAATGTCGCTGATGATTTATTCCCATTTTCTCTTTATGGTGCTTCGAGTGGTGTTGGTTGCCATTGAGAGCATCGCTGACATTTGGAAACTACCTCTTTACCAGAGCATTCTCTTTAGCCTGGATGCCATGTTCTCTTGCATTCTCTACTTCTTCCCAAAATTCTTTGTTCAACCAAAGTCACCAACCTCGCGTGTCAGTGCAGGAACGTTTCAACCCATGGCTTCCTTTGGTTCTAGTGCGGGGCACAACTCCGCGTTGGCGAGTCAGGCGCAGTGGTCTCTTGACTCGAGTCTCCATTCGGCAAAGACGGGCCGCTCTGCAAGGAAGCGTCCTTCCTCCGGGATTATGGATCTCTTTGACAACCAGAATACCAAAGAAGAATCAGCGGAATGTAGGGATGAAGCGCTTTCTCGTGCGGCAGAATCGCCGGTAGATGTACCAGCTGTTGAGCCCGTGGAGCCTACTACCGAGAGCACAGCTGCTAAGCCCGAGGAGGCTTTTACCGAGAACAAAACTGCTAAAATACATGATTCGATAAGCAGAACACAGGAAGATGTCACAGATTCTGAGCGCTCGAGCTTTATTTTCATGAAGCTTCATCATCAAGAGAAGCTGCGGCTCTCCGTGGAGAGAGAAGCATAGAGTAGCACATGCAGCCGTTCCGTGCGAATCGAATCGAATCGAATCGAATCGAATCGAATCGAATCAAACAGCGGCTATCATGATAGACATATTTTTCTACATGTGTCGTTGCGCGGTCTACTACCGATGGGGCTGCTCCTCTATCCCGGTACCGGAACCGGTAGAAAGAGCAACTATGTCGTTCCACTATCGTAGCTCGATCAAAGGAGAGAGGTGCTTAACAGCATCCTCCGTACTGATACACGGTACCAGGTACCTGGTACCAGCCCAAGACATGAGGCCAACGATCCCACTGGAGACTCAGCGTAACAGGAAGAACGATGCAAGACGAGAAACGAGCGATAGCTACATGCGAGAGACAAGGCACTGGCCAGCCACACATTCTCTCGGGCTACAACGGAAAGCGAAGGCCCCAGAGTAGGGGATTGATTAGTCTGCGGAAGCCTGGAGGGGGGCATCGTGCCGCGTGATATCCCTCCAATGATCACTTCCCTCGCTCTACTATACCGGTACCGGTAGCTACCGGTGACATCCATGATACGATGCCTTCCTCCGCCTCATAACATAGACTCCTCTCCTTGTGGAAGGTCTGTCTCTTTGTCAGAGCGACTCTGGCCGGTCCACCGCCTATTGTTCGCAGCAACTGCCTGCAACGCATCGAGTACGATTTGGGCATGCATCGGTCATCGTCCATGCTGGTCTTCGTCCATGCGGGCTTCCGAGGAGACTTACAGCAAGCTAGCTAGATAGCTTCATGTATTTCAGTAGCCCTGTGTGGACAGGACCCGCTGGAAGAGACATTACTACTACTACAGTAGTACTGTAGTCACTGCTGACAAGGGCGGTAGAAGCGAGGGGAGTGTAAGTTGCGGTGCTTTTACGACCAAGCGTCGTCCATGCCCGCTGTTTCTTCCGGGATCTTCTGATGCTTCCTTCCCATGTACCAGATAAATATGCTTTGACATCGATAATCCAGTTGAATGCAAATGAAAACATGTCCTTTGCGGCAAGCCGGACCTATTTTAACAGCGTTTTTAGGATTGGACGATGCATGCCTGGGGTCTTTTTCCTCGGCCACTTCAAAAGGCGAACAGAAAGGCTGCACCACACCTCGCATTCAGCCCTCATGCACACTAACAACTAACTGTCTCTCTCTCTGAGATTTGGTGGTATCATTATCTATTCAACGAGCTTGCTAGCTATAGCTACAAAAGAGAGCACTCGGATTAACAACGCGTCAATCGAGGTTGTGATTGTGCCGAAGGCGCCTTACTACAGTACCTTTCGTTCGCAACAACCACTCCACCCGCGAACAACAATCCACGCAGAGACAACAAACACCATGAAGCACTGCCGGGCGCACTTGCGGCTTATCTTGCTATCTATCGTTGCTGCCGTGTCAGCTGCAGATAAAGGAGACCCAATCCCCTGTAGTGTAGACTCAGATTGCCATGCCCTCCTGCAGTCTAGCTCTGCGTGTGTGGATGGATTCTGTACCAATCCACTCCGAGGTGGGTGCTTGAAGCAGCTCAAAGAGGGATGGAACAAGACAAGGGCTTGTCACTCAGAGGATACTGAGGAGAATCTCCAGCACTGTACAATCCCCGAATTTGAGGATGACTATATGGAGATCCGTATCTCTGCCCTCAATTGGCAATCCGCATACTTCAATGCCTGGATCTTGCAGATTCTGCTTTCAGAGCTTGTTGGTGTCCCATCCACAATCGAAACAGGGAATGCAGCTGGCAACATGGATTTCTATGATGCCACCAGACCGATGGAGCTAGGGGATGCCCATGACTGGGAAGGACTTCGTCGGGCACAAGAAGTGGGAGATTGCCGTGTCTTGGAATCATCTGGAGATGACTATCAGTCCTGCTCTCATGTAGTTCCAGAAACATGCTCGTCAGTAGCTGCCATGAGACGGGAGATGGAGGGCGAAGGGATTATTGAGAAGTCAGTTGGAATAGGTAGCATTACGGAAGAAGGTTGGTTCATTCCCAAGTTCACCTTGGCGCATGATCCCTCTCTGGCTAGCTATGCTGGTCTGATGGGACCAGAAAACCGCCAGAAGCTGGCAAATACCTTTAAGAGGCCCACAAAATGGAAGGATTACTGCCTACATGTTTCTCCCGACCAATTCTTTGTTCAACCAAAGTCACCAACCTCGCGTGTCAGTGCAGGAACGTTTCAACCCATGGCTTCCTTTGGTTCTAGTGCGGGGCACAACTCCGCGTTGGCGAGTCAGGCGCAGTGGTCTCAAGTTCACCTTGGGGCATGATCCCTCGCTGGCTAGCTATGCTGGTCTGATGGGACCAGAAAACCGCCAGAAGCTGGCAAATACATTTAAGAGGCCCACAAAATGGAAGGACTACTGCCTACTTGTTTCTCCCGACCACTGCAACACTCCTGACAGCGTGGCACAGCGGCCACCCACAGTTGAAGAAGAGTCCAGTTACTTTGTGGAAGGTTCCTACACAGGCTACTTTCGAGCCACAGAGAAGAACAATTGTGACCTGAACAACTCCACATTCAAGTGCACTGGCGAGTTTATTGACTATCCCTGTGGTTGGACCAGTTATGCTTATGCCATGACCCATCATTTGGATATTGCCTTGGAAGGAAGTGGGGATGAACCTGTCATCCATGGATACTCATACCGGGAAATGGGTCAAATCTGGGCTGCTGCCAATGCCACAAGATCTCATGTGATGATGCAATCATGGAAGCCAGATACGCTATACCAATCATGGGTTGGCACTGAAGCTGCCTGGGTGAGGGTAGATTTGCCCATGCCCACATTGGAATGCCTTGAGAACCGTCCACCAAGGGAACTCCGCTGCGATCCTGAGGCTGACCCCACAGAGCGATTTGGGTCCCCTTTGGGCACTTGTGACTATCACACATCCTTACTTGAACGGATGGTGGTGAAGAAGTTACACACTGAAACGTTTGACCCATCCATTTCACCAGAAAAGCGTAGCCCTGGCTATGACCTCATTCGATCGTTCACAATCAATGAGCTCCAAATGGGGCAAATCATGGACTACTGGACAAAAATGGAAGATCCAAGAGAGGCCACCTGTCAATGGGTTGTGGACAACTTTGACACCTTGGTAACAACTGTTCCTCTCACTTATCCACGCACTATCAAGGCAACAAATGACCATTTGGAAGGACCTCTTTTCTATTCATCGCTCACTCTTGCCATCCTGGCCATAGTCATGGTCGTCATGGCTGCTGTTGTGACTTATTGGAAGAGGGGAACAAAGGCAATTCAGTTTGCCCAGATTGAGTTTCTTTGGATTATATTGACTGGTCTTCTCATGGTTTCAATTGGATCTATGATCATGGTTTTGCCAGTCCATAGTGATGGGATGTGTGTGGCGACTGTTTGGTTGGTGGTGCTCGGATACACGTTTGAGCTTATTCCACTCCTTGTTAAAGTGTCGGCTTTGAACAAGCTGATGCGGGCTGCCAAGAAGATGAAACGTGTAAAGCTGGAAAGGAGCTGGCTCTTTGGTGCCGTGTTTGCGATTGCCTTTGCCATGGTCGTGTTTTTGGTGGTTTGGACAGCAGTCGATCCTGTGCAGAGATTGATTGCCCATGAGCTGACAACTGAAGAGACAGAAGCAGGTGAAACCATTGTGGCTGCCCGGTACTATTGTGCCTCTGAATCAGATGGTTGGCGTTACACCTGGGTGGCAGTGAATATGGCCATGCTGATTTGTGCCACAGTCCTGGCTGTCCAGACAAGGAATGTCCGAGACGAGGTGAACGAGTCTCTCACAATGTCGCTGATGATTTATGCACATTTCCTCTTCATGGTACTCCGGATGGTGTTGGTTGCCATTGAGAGTATCGCTGACATTTGGCAACTGCCTCTTTACAGGAGCATTGTCTTCAGTCTGGATGCCATGTTCTCTTGTGGCGTCTACTTCTTGCCCAAGTTCTTCCCAAGAAACCAGGGTGGCCGAGAAGTCCTTCGATCGACGTTCCGTTCCTCTGCTGTGAATTCACAATTCCGCGACAGTGTCATGACTGCACCGTACGGCCTTTCGTCGCAAGTTCGCGACAGCGTGATACCGGGAGATCCCCCAAAGAGTTTGATGGATTCGAGTGCGAATTCGACATCTCACAGACGATTGAGCCTCCTCGAGAACCAAAAGAGTACGCTCGATTCGAGCGCGAATGCAACATCTTGCAGACGGCTGAGCCTCCTCGAGAAACAAGAAAAGAGTTTCGCCTCGGTAGGTTCCACGGCGCCGATGCCTAATGTCGATTATTCCCCTGACGCCTCTAAAGAGCTTGAAAATCTCGTACGGGCCGAAAGCCCAAGGACCTCTAGCGACAGCCCATCCGCCGCTATGAACCAGTCCCGAGTGGTTTTTGACGATGAGGTATCAACATGAGTGCGACACCTCTGCCGCCTAAGGTGCAGCTGGGCTCATAGGCGTCGGGACGGTTCGAGACATGGGTGAGGAACGGGCATCACTCTTTGTCTGGAAGAAACCTCGCCGACAAGAGATGTCCTTGTATTTGACGCGCTTGATGGACTATCCTGGAAAACACAATCGAGTGTCGACCGCACGCTCCATTCTACGGTACATACATGTCGCGCGTCGAAAGCATAAGCCGACGCACTGGGATGGTCCATTGAATTGCTCCGAGCGTTGGTCTTGGACATAAATATACGGTAGTAATCTAGCTAGACTTCTGCATTGTTACATCGGATGGTTACCGTTCGCGGTGAGGTCAGAGGTTCTACGTTACCGTGCATATTGGCCCTCAACGCATGCATCGTGCCTTGTCTCACTCAGCCGCCGGAGATCAAACGCCATCCGATGATCTATCCCAAAGTCCTCGGAGAATCGCCTATGGGACAAGAAATGACGGTTGTATGAAAAATTTCTATGATTTTGTGTTTACCTCTATAGCATGGCATTTCTTTTTCTTCTCTTCTTGTATGAGTTGCTCCGCACTCTGATAATCGCGTCGCAGTTGTGCTTGTCCGTTTTGGTTGGCTTTTATATGCATAACCAAGGACCCACATTCGTTTTTATATCGGTGGACCCAGACAGCTCTAGTGTTTCCCTTTCTGTTGTATAGTTTCTTTCGTGTCATTTGTTACGAGAGGAACTTGGCATCTCGAATGTACGTCAGTTTGGGGAATCGTTTGAGATAGGCGTCACCCTTTTGTTGCATCAAACCCTGGTTGGGTCCGTTGCCGTCTGGTTCGCCTTCCCCGTACTGACTGTAAAACTTGTCGACAATGTCCATTCCTTCAATTACTTCACCAAAGGGCGCAAAGCCCTGTCGGTCCAAAAACGCATTGCCTTCGTCTCGCGTATTGATGAAAACTTGAGAGGTTCGAGTGTTGGGTCCATTGGTAGCAAAGACGACGGTTCCACGGCGATTGGACACGCGGACGGGATCATCGGGAATGGCATTGGATCTCCATTGCGCTTGGACTTCCGTGTCGCCGTGGATACCAAATTGCGCCACAAAACCAGGCAACACCCGAAAGATCTTGCAGTTGTTCCAAAAGCCAGACATAGTCAGTTCCTGATGGTTGGTAGAAGAAGAGGGAAGAGTGTGAGTGATCCATCGTTGTATGCAAACTATTTTGTCATGATGGTTGGTCTTGACTGGCTCAGCTCTGCTCACCTCAAATCGCGCCGCTCCTCGTGGAGCCCATTCGGGTCTCATTTGCACTTTGACCTTGCCGGACTGAGTCGACGATCCATCCACATTGGCAAACTCTATCTCCACGATGCGTCCCGTTGTGGGTGCCGCTTCGGCCAATGCGGCTTCCCTTTGGAAGACGCTTGCGGCAGTACCGGCAAACACCACTCGTCGCAGTCCACGGAAGACTTGGCGACGGCCAAATGCCGACAACTCAGTAGATGTTCTTGTTGTTGTTGACGGTGCGGAGGGAGCAAAGGCGCATGTTCCAGGGGACAACAACCCCAAACAGAGAAAGAGCAATCGTCGTGTAGTTGTTGGTCTCTTGATCATGATGTTTGATACTAGTAGTAGCAAGGTCGTTGTTGGGTGAAAAATATGAGGAAGAACTCCGAGTTGTTGTGATGGATCAAAAAAAGCATTCTATTTCAGCGTGTGAGACACCCGGTACTGGCGTCCAAGCTAATCAAGGGGTTACTTCAACAGTCAATCTTCAACAGTAACACAAGCGAGGTGCGTGCAGGCTTCCTTGAAAAAATTAATTATTCGATTCTTACAAGACTCGACTCGATAGGTCATTCCTTAAGTCATCCAACGGTTATGGCATTCGCAGAAGTGACCGCCAAAACAGTCATTACTACTAGAAGATGGCCTTTTTTGGCTCCAAACTTGAAATTATTTAAGTAAATGGTCACTTGTTAGACTTAATAGATGACGTACGCTAATATTGGGTCACTGGCATTTGGCATTGTCTTGTTCTCTTGTTCTCCAACTCTCAAGCCAGCAAGAGCTGTTGAAATGACCATTCATTTTAGTTGCGTTGGCTTCAAAGAGCTCAAAAGGTTTCCTTTCGAACAGATCATTTGATGACCTTTCGATCATCCCTGCCATGTAAGCAAGGGCAAATGGACAATACACCCAGGTACGATGTACGATGTGCCTCCGTGTTTCCCATATCCCTGCTATGGATGAGAATTGAAAATAAACTATGAAACTCACTTTTAACTTTTCTATAGGACAACTAATGGTACAAGTATCTCATGCGGGAAAGCAAGTGTTCCAGGTTTGTAAAATTGGGCTGACCACTTTGCTGTGTGCAGATTCACCTTCTATTGATCCACCACCATGTAGAATTCCCCTAGGTCGTCGGGCGTGGCTCCAGAGACAAGAATGTAGTGCTGTGTGCCTGTCGGAGTCGGCCAAGTAAAGGATCGCTCTACAACGGGATTGCTGTAGTATGGGGCGCTGTTCACGGACAATCCCTCGGTTACATTCGCACAGGAAAAGCGTATGGAGTCGCACCTGCTTCCATCGTAGATTGAAACTCGGGCTTCAAAGTCTGCCGTCAATGATAGAGTCGTATTGGCATCATTGCCAGATGGCAGGGAGTACCACAATCCGGTCGTCTCAGACAGCGTTCCGGGGTTGTTGCAATCCGCAACTTCTTCCGATGTTGCAAAGTACGTCCAATCGTTCACTACGATGGGGCCACCGTCGCGCGAAAACAAGGTTTGTGCAAAGGGACACTCGTCGTTGAAAGGAGCGGCCGTGGACTCAATAGTCAAGACGAACCTGCCAGTTGGTTGCGCCGGGGGTGTTTCTGGATCAATGATTGCAGTGTGGACAAAGAGGAAGTAAGCATAGCCTTCCCGGGTAGCCCAGCTAGTCGAGCTCGAAAAGTAGCTGATCCGTGTAACAAGAGTGCCATCGATGCAGACCAGGTTGTCGCAAAACGATGGAATCTCCGTTCCGTTCGTCAGAGGCGCCTCAAATACCGCAACTTCCGTGGGATCATCTGACTCGAGCCTGGCTTTCAAGACAAGGCCCGTGCCGGCGATCGAATACCACAGCCCGAGTGTCGAAGCAGTGTCCACCAGCCCACAAGTGAAACCTTCCGTGCTGGAGTCGATGGTTGCGGTTGTCAAGGAACTTCTCAATCTTTGTTGGACACTAACAGCAGCCGCCATTGGGCACTCTGTACGATTGCCAGGAGCTAGGACAGCAGCAGGTTCTGTTGCCAGTGTTGGACTTGTTACAAATCCACTTGAGGATGGTACTGTTGTTGTGTCTGGAGCTGAGTTGCTAGAAGGTTGACTTGTGGGAGTGCGTGAAGGCGAGAGAGAAGAAAGATCTGCTGTTGGTGGGTTTGACGGTGACACTGAAGAGAGAGCTGCCGTTGGTGGGGTTGAAGGAGACACCGAAGAGAGAGCTTGTGTTGTTGCAGTTGAAGGCTCTGCAGTTTCCCTTTCATTTCCTTGAATGGCTCCTCCATCAGGGAGTTGGCCCACGCCAAGCCCCATCGAAATTATTGATAGCTCGTAGTCAAGACTGGATGTAGGAAGGCCTTGAACCACAACAAAGTACGGTACGCCTTGTTCTGCCGCCCAAGTGACAGTGACTGATTCATCTGAAAAACTACGCAGAGCCCCACGAATGCACTGGAGTTCGTCACATGTGCCCTGGTAGACAACCACCTGGCCAGGGCCATTAATCATCAGAGTTGCACTCAATTGTGAACCGTCTCCAATTAGGATATACCAAGAGCCACCTCTCCCCTGTAGGCTTGCAGAACCACATACTTCCGCACTGTTCGTAGGCCCATCAGATGTTGAGCTGCTCACTTTGCTCCCAATTTCAAATAAGACTGCGTCGAAGCATTGAGCCCCACCAGGCAGTGGCACCGCAGGAATTACCATCGGTGGCAAGCTTGGCTGTGCTATTGGTGGATTGGTAGGCAGACTCGTTGAAGGCTGGGGAGTGGGGCTGGTTGTTGTTGGAGCTTGGGTTGGTGTTGTGCTCGGGACAACGCTTGGCAGACTGCTTGGAGTTGTGCTGGGGCGATCGCTTTGGATCCTACTTGGGGCAGCAGTAGAAACAGTTGGAAAGACAGTTGGATTGGTGCTGGGCAAATCTGTCTGCACGGCACTGCTAGGCTGGAAACTGGGCGTTGCCGTGGGGGTATCAGTAGGTTGTCTAGTTGGTGCTTTCGTTGGATTCGAGCTGGGCAATTTTGTTTGCGTGGCACTAGGCTGGAAACTGGGCGTTGCCGTGGGTGCAACAGTAGGTTGGCTCGTTGTTGCCTTGGTTGGATTCGTGCTGGGTACTTCTATTTGTGCGACGCTAGTAGGCTGGAAACTGGGCGTTGCCGTGGATGCAACTGTTGGATCGCTCGTTGTTGCCTTGGTTGGACTTGCACTGGGTACTTCTGTTTGAGCGGTTTGAGCGGCACTGGTAGGCTGGAAACTGGGAGTTGCGGTAGGTGTAGCAATAGGTTGGCTCGTCATTTCGTTCGTTGGATTCGTGCTGGGAACCTGTAGCTCAACGGGGTTTTCGGACGGCTCCGACGTGGGTTGGTTACTCGGTCCATTGATTGTCGAGACCGAAGGCAAGGAAGACGGCATTGGTGCACTTTCAGTGGGAGTTTCTCTCGCTGGTGTCGTGGGGTTGGCGCTAGGAGCGAAAATGGGAGAATGCGGCCCGGGGGTCTCCACTTGAATCTCAAACTGATCCCCAATCGATGCAAACCCAAAAACAAACGAATAGTACGACTGCCCAACAGAGGTTTCAAATTCGGCATATCCTGATTTCACTTTGTCTGTTGCTGACTGCCTGATCTCGTATGAAGCACTATCTCCAATACAGCTAAGAGAGAGGCATGTGCCAGTGTAAACCACCATACGAGCATCGTAGTTTGCTTCAAAGCTCACCCTCATAACGCCGCCGGTCCCTGAAGTGACGTACCACAGCCCTGGTGAAGTATTTGGAACATTGCTGCACAGTTCGACATTGTCAACAGTAGCATAGCGCGTAGATCCGCTTAAAGGTCGCCCCAGCTGTAGCTCTTGGGCATCCAAGCAAGCATCGTTCGGAGGTGTCGGGTTTTCTCCGTCCATGTAGAGCTCAAAAGTTCCACTTTGCCCAAAGAAACCGTTGACCAAGATGAAATACATCGTGTCTGGTTGGGAATCCCACTCCAGAAAAAGAGTCTGAAAGCCTGGAGGTTCTCCAGCGATGCCATCGACACAAGAAAGCTCTTCGCAATTATCTCCTAAGTACAATACCAATTGAGCATCATACTCTGCCAGCACGGTGATGTTGAAACGTCCACCAGTCCCACGTGGAGCCAGGTACCAAATTCCTGGACCGCCAAGAACGGTACTCCCGCAATGGTCTGCGTCACTGTGAGATGCCAGAGAAGTTGACGCGGTCACTGTTTCACCGAGGGCAAGGGAGACGGCATCACCGCAGCTATCGTTTTCAGGCTGAACGGTTTCTTCAATGCTCAACTCGAATGAGCCCACCGCTCCATTAAAGCCGTGCACAAACATAAAGTACTCTCGGCCTTCAATCGACTCAAAAATGACCTGACCAGAGTTAACATCGGTCGGATACCCTTCTGTACCGTCTACGCAAGCAAGAGACCTGCATGACAACCCTTCAAAGACAGAAAGCTGAGCATCAAAATCTGCAGTGAACGCTACCCGAATTGCTAGTATACGTAAAGCGACAATGTGAGGGCTGCTGCAACTTTTGAGAAGTCGAATCAAATACAAAACTCTTCCTGCACATACCTGCGCCACTTGCAAAGAACGAAAACCAAACGCCAGGAGCAGATTCCGAATTGGTTCCGCATGAATCTATACTGTCTTCAGAAGCAGACACTGTTGATGCGGAGACAGTGCCGCCAATACCGATAATTTCTCTTCCTTCACAGAAATTGTTCGAAGGGGGTGGAGGCAGGGGCATCGCTTCTTCTCCTACTGTACAAGCCTTAGAATCGCACGAGTTGCCAACAAAGACATCAATGCGTGCTGCGAAGTCAGCAACAAACGAAATCTCAATCGGACTTCCGGTTCCAAGTATAAAGTACCAGGAGCCAGGAGAACTTTCAGGTCCAGCTTCTTCCGGCGCAGAACAAAGCGGCTCGTTGTCTTCATTTGCCAACGATGTAGATCCAGCAATGGCACTGCCACCAATCTCCAACTGTATACTTCCAGGACATGAGTCATTTGCTGGAGAATTTGTTTGCTGCAAGCTCGGTGCTTCTGTTGGTCTTGTCGTCGGCCTCGGTCTTGGTGTGGGTCTTGGTGTGGGTCTTGGCCTTGGGGTTGGCCTTGGGGTTGGCCTGGGGGTTGGCCTGGGGGTTGGCCTTGGTGTGGGTCTTGGTGTGGGAACTGCTTGAGTTGGTTTCAACAATGGCAAGAAGTAGTCATCTGATCCAGTCGCCGTATCTGGATTTGATGGCGTCGTGGCCGGTTCAAATGATGGAAAGTTCATGGAAGGCCTCTCAAATACAGTCAGATTGAATTCACCAGTCTGGCCATTTTGGTCCCTTACAAGCACATAGTATCGTTCCCCTTCCTGAGCATCCCACCCGTACGACACTGAAGAATGGGATGCAAACCCTTGATCAATGCATTGATGCAAGCTGTGGCAATTTTGGCCCTGAAGGATAGTTAACCGTGCAGCGAAGCTTGTGTCTAGGACAACCTCCAATGGCATGCCCATTGCTCTGAATCTGTACCACACAGCTCTTCCAATCTCACCTCCACATGGTGACATGGCTTCATCAACTCTGGCCATGGTTGTTGAACCCTGAACAGTCACGCCAAATAGTAGCCTTTGAGATCCTAGACAGCTATCATTTAATGATGGCCCCGAAGAACGCGGAGAATCTTTTCGATCTCTGTATGCGATTGAAATTAATGATCCCCTGATTGGACTTGATGATCTACCGGTGGGTAGCAATTTTGAAGATCCCTTTGAAAGCACTGTCAAGCTGAATTCACCACCCTGGTATGCTGGATCATCGACAATGAGATAATATTGCTCTCCTGGTTCAACATCCCAGGAATGTGACAGATTAGCTGCATTGGATGACGATCCTGTGATCTGAAGGAAGCACTGCGAGTTGCTACATTTTGCCCCATGCAAAATTGTCAATCGAACCAGAAAATTGGTTTGTAGTAGTACTTCAAGCTTGTCATTGGTAGCCATGAATCTGTAAGCTATTCCTCTTTCCACGACATTTCCACATGTTGGAAAATCTTGCAAATGCTTCGCTGTGGCTGTTGACCCAGTAACTGTAGTCCCAACTAAGATATCCATCACGTCTGGACAACCATCCTGAGAACGCAATTCAAGCTGCTTTTCCTGATCCCTACTACGAGCTCTTTCCCAACCATTCGGTAGAGTCCTGTGTCCATTGGAGTCACCTCCTGATCCAGCTGTAGAACTTGTTGCCTGTCCTTCAAACACAGTCAAATCAAATTCATCAGCACGATCATTCATGCCTTGTACAACCACATAATACTCCTCGCCTTTCTGGGGATGCCAGGCAAATGACAGTGGTGGAATGATCCCAAAAACTTGCTCAACACATTGCAGGTTGTTGCATTCGGGCCCTTTTAAAACAATCAAAGTTGAACTGAAGCTTGACTCCAGGACAACTTCAATAGGCTTGCCCGTTGCACCGAAACTGAACCACAGAGCTTTCCCAATTCCAACACCACAGGGTGACACACCTTCACTATTTTTTGCCTTGCTTGATGAACCCTGAACTGTCTTACCAAACTCCAACCTGACCGATCCTTGACAGCTATCATTTTGCGATGGCTTGACAGAAGTGATAGCCGGTGCTTGACCATCATCTTCTGAAAAATCATTGATAGGAACCCAATCTTCTTCAAGACCCTCTTTAGAGCCATCCATAGTGGAAGAAGGGAAGTAGTCATCAGACTCTACTGTAGGGAGAACAGTTGGTGCTGGGAACAGAATTGGCACAGATGTTGGTCTCTCCATAACAGTCAAATTGAAATCACCAACATGACCTGTCATGCCCTTTACAATCACATAGTATCTCAGCCCTTCCGTGGCATCCCAGGCATAAGATACCGGGGGTATGATCCCAAAAACTTGTTCAACACATTCCAGACGATTGCAATGTGGCCCTTCAATGACAACAAGAGTGGCACTGAAGCTTGACTCAAGGACCACCTCAATTGGATTTCCCCTGGCCCGGAACCTATACCAAGCAGCACTGCCGATCTCCCCACCACATGGTGAAAATCCTTCATCAAAATTGGCCATACTAGTGGAACCTTGAACAGTCACACCAAACAACACCCTGAGAGATCCCTGACAGCTCTCATTAGGCAATGCTGCTGGATCGTCTTGAGAGGCACTGTCTTCAGTAATTGGACTCTGTGTTAATTCCTTTTCATCAGAACTAAACAGGGAAGAAGGGAGGAGGTAGTCCTCAGACTCAACTGTTGGAAGTATTGTGGGAACCAGTGCAGACCCAGTTGAGTCTACTGAACTTGGTTCCATTGATTGTTGCTGAGTTGGAATGTTTGGAGTTGTTGATGCAGGGGGTGGTGAACTCGGTACTTCTTCTTGCATGGGGGCAGATGCAGCTATCTCTAACTCTTCTGTCTCCCCATCCTCACCAACCCTAAAAGAAAGGGCAACACTGTCTGTCAGGCTGAAATAAGGCCCCGCGGGATGAACAAAGTCAAAGATATACATGTTGTAGTCAGCATTTTCTAATGTGCCAGTGACCTCTTCAGAAGGTGGTAGGCTTGAGAAGAAGACATCAGCTGCAAAATACAGCCAATATCCAGCACCCAGCTGCCCATGCTCAATTACAGCTGCAAGAAAATCAAGCATTGTGATAGGATATGAAGCAGACAAAACTCTAATGTAGAAATCAAAAGTGTTTTCAATCAGGTTGTCTTCTTCAGCATCAGTTGGTTGGATGATTTGGCTCTGTCGTGGGAATGACACACTCTGTTGAAAGATTTGGCTAATATCTGTAGGTGCAGTTCGGGTTGAGCCTGGGTTTGGTTCTGATCCATTGCTGATAGAGTAGGTGATATTGACATAGAGTCTGAGCACACCTTCTGAAGAAGTTGGAATTGTACCAGTGGGAAGACCTGGAATTTCCGAAGATGGAGACAGTGTGGCCACTACCAATACGTCAGTAGGGTCTGTTGTTGGAAGCTCTGATGGGGTTCGGTCTACCACTGGGGAACTTGTCTGCATGGGAAGGGAGATTGGACTGCCAGTGGGATCCAAAGTAGGAGGCAAAAACCCAGGTCTTTCAACAATTGTTATATTGAAGGGACCAGTCCCACCATTCACACCATCTACAACAACATATTGGCGCAATCCACTCTCTGCATCCACCAGAACTGATAACAAGGATTCACCATCTGCTGCTCCCAGTACTTGATCTATACATTCCAAGTTGTCACAGTCGGGACCAGCCAGCAGACTGAGCCTTGTTCTGTAGTTTGCCTCAACTTGAATCAAAATAGGATCATCTCTTGCTCTAAACGAGAACCAGATCCCAAAACCAAGGCCGAGGCCACCATCACAGGGAGTGAAATCTGGATCCAGTGTTGCCCTGTAGGTGGATCCTTCAACCTTGGAACCAAAGATCAATCTTGATGACTCTTGGCAGACAGTGTTGGATGGCAAAGGCACCGCTGTTGGATTTGGAGTTATAGGTGGTTCAGTGGGCTGTGGCATTGGGTTTTGTATGGTTGGCTCATCTGTTTCTACGCTTGGCATGAGGGTTGAAATGGAGGCCAAAGTTGGTAGAGAAGTGGGCAAAGAGGTTGGAGTGGCTGCTGGTGCCAATGTTGGGGAAGCAGAAGGCTCTGAGGTTGTTGGCAAATTTGTTGGGGATGTTGTTGGAGTTTCTGTGGCTGCAGTGGGATTGCCGGTTGGGTCCAGTGTAGGAACCACAAATCCAGGTCTTTCTACAACAGTTATATTGAATGGCCCAGTTCCACCATCTACTCCATCCACAACAACATAGTGGCGCAACCCACTCTCGGCATCCAGCAAAAATGACAGCAAAGATTCACCTGTTGCTCCCAGTACTTGATCTATACATCCCAGGTTGTCACAGTTAGGACCAGCCAGCACAGAGAGCCTCGTCCTGTAGTTTGCCTCAACTTGAATCTCTAAAGGATCACTGCCTGGTGTAAACCTGAACCAGATCCCAAAACCCAGGCCAAGGCCACCCACACATGGAGTGAAGTCTGCGTCAAATGTTGCTCTGTAAGTAGATCCTACCATTGTGGATCCAAATTCCAATTTTGATGCAGCCTGACAGACTCTGTTAGTGGGCAAAGGAACCGCTGTTGGTTCACTTTGCAGGGCTCGCTTCCGGGCATTGTCTATGGTGAGGGAGAAATTGCTGCTGCTCAGGGTGAAGTCGTTGTTATGGTTTGCAACAAACAAGTAGTAGGTAACATCACTTTCAGCCACCCAAGCAAGAGAACCTGATTGTGTAGATTCAGATGTCTCAGCACAGACTATGTTGTCACAAGTGCTTCCAGCAAAGATTGAAAGTTGCATCTCAAAATCACCATCAAATGCAACCCTTGTAATGGAACCATCACCAACAAGACGATACCAAAGACCCTGGTGATCCATTTGTGCTTGCTGTTCACAGTTAGGAAGTGTACTGCTTGTTGCATGTCTCATCAGCGCTTGCATCGAATCTCCCATTTCTACTGGCAAAGACTCCTCACAATCAACATTGGGAGGTGGGGTTGCATCTTGTATCGTAACATTGAAGTTGCCAGCATTAGAATCACCATGAACATAGAGATAGTACTTCTCTGATTCTTCTGCATTAAACATAGCAAAGCCAGCTGTGCCACCAGCAAAGACACCTTGAGTACCAGTAACACATTGCAGAGAATCACATTCACCTGAAAATATTGATATCTGTGCAAAGTAATTTGATTCAAAGGAGACATCAATTGCTCCAGTTGAAACAAAAAGACTATACCAAACACCTGGCGCACTAGAAGCCAAGCCACAAACTGGAACACTGTCAGCACTTGCCAGAAGAGTGGACCCCCTTGAAGAGGCACCTGTCGGGAGGAACTTAGAACCTGAACAGCTGTCATTGGCTACATCATCAGAGTTGGCAGTTTCATCAGCTCTTGTTGCAGGGGGTGGTGAAGTTCGTCCTCCTTCTAGCATGGGGGCAGATGCAGATATCTCTATCTCTTCAGTCTCTCCATCCTCACCAACTCTGAAAGAAAGGGCAACACCATCAGTCAAGCTGAAATAAGGCCCCGCCGGATGAACAAAGTCAAAGACATAGATGTTGTAGTCAGCATTTTGAATTGTGCCAGCGACCTCATCAAAGGGTGGTAGGCTTGAGAAGAAGACATCCACTGAAAAATGCAGCCAAAATCCAGCACCCCGCTGCCCATGCTCCATTGCTTCAGCAAGAAAATCAAGCATGATGAGAGGGTATGAAGTTGATAAGATTCCAATGTAGAAATCAAAAGTGTTTTCAATCAGGTTGTCTTCTTCTGCATCAGTTGGCTTGATGATGTTGCTCTGGCGTGGAATAGGCAGACTCCGCTGAAAGAATCGGCTTATATCTGTAGTTGCAGTTTGTGTTGCGCCTGTGCTTGGTTCTGATGCATTGCTGATAGAGTAGGTGATATTGAAATAGATTCTGAGCACAACTTCGGAAGGAGTTGGAATTGTGCCAGCAGGAAGACCTGGAATTTCTAAAGATGGAGACAGTGTGACCACTTCCAATGCATTTGGCTGGCGTGTGTCCAAAGTAGTAGGAGTTGTTGTTGAAAGCTGTGACGGGGTTTGGTCTACCATTGGGGGGTTTGACTCCATGGGAAGGGAAGTTGGACTAGCAGACGGTCCCTCCACCGGCACAGGATTTGTTGGCGAATCTGTGGCAACCACTGTAGGCAAGAGCGTGGGCATTGTGTCCAGTGATGCTGTTGGAGTATATGTGACAGCTGTTGGGCTGCCAGTGGGATCCAAAGTAGGCAACACAAATCCAGGTCTTTCAACAACTGTAATATTGAAAGGCCCGGTCCCACCATCTACTCCATCCACAACAACATAGTGACGCAATCCACTCTCAGCATCCAACATAAATGACAACAATGGTTCGCCTTTTGTTCCCAGTACTTGATCTATGCATTCCAGGTTGTCGCAGTTAGGACCAGCAAGCACAGTGAGCCTTGTCCTGTAGTTTGCCTCAACTTGAACCTCTAAAGGATCACTGCCTGCTGTAAACCTGAACCAGATACCAAAACCGAGGCCAAGACCACCATCACAGGCAGTAAAGTCTGGATCAAGCGTTGCTCTGTAGGTGGATCCTTCAATCTTGGAACCAAAGATCAATCTGGTTGACTCTTGACAGACTCTGTTAGGAGGCAAGGGCATATCTGTTGCATTCGGTGTTGAAGGTGTTTCCGTCAAAGGTACTGAAGGCTGTGGCATTGGTTGCTCTTGTGTTGGCTCGTCTGTTGCCACCGTTGGCCGCTCCATGATTGGCAGGGAGGTTCCAGTTGTTGGCTGCTCCATGATTGGCAACGAGGTTCCAGTTGGGACGGTGGGGGGCAAAGAAGTGGGCAAAGAGGGCAGGGGAGCTGCTGGTGCCAACGAAGGGGAAGCAAAACGTGCTGAGGCAGAAATCTGAAAATTGCCAGTTGCCTCGGATGTCTGGCCACGGATGACCACATAGTACGTTCGGTTTGGTTTGGTTTCAAAGACAACAGAGCCCGAATATCCCAACATCGGCAGTGGCCCAGAACCAGAGCTGCTCGCCGAAGTGGTTTGGTCGCTGCTCCTTTGAATAGCAAAGTCCTCAGAGGGAGGTCTCTTTTCGATTGTGTTTCCCAAAGAATCCAATTGAACGCGAGCTTCCAACATGGATTTTGGTTGTCGAACAAGACCTCCGTGAACGCTTCTCGCTTGCTTTCCGCCTGCTGATCTGTCTTCGGCAACTGGTTCGGCTATGTCGGCTCCGTCAACCGATTCGATCAACAATACAAAATCACCTCCCACGAATTGGGTCGGTTGTGGCAGGCTCCGGCTAACGTGAACATCAAAAATCACGGCCTCCAACTCGGTCGTGGCGCCGACAAAGAATTCACCGCATGGTTGAAGGTAAGCTGCACAATTGGGCACTTCCGAGCAGTCCGTTGGGTGCGATTCCTTCCAGCAACACGCTGCCTCTAAACACTCCTTCTCACATTCGACTAGAAACTCGCCATCATTCACGGCGGGGTTCAGCACCGAAGGATCACAAATGCTACTCAAGAAACTTGGTGCCACTGGTACTATTCCGTTCTCCGTAGGTGCGGATGTAGCGTTGACTGCACCGCTGGAAGATACCAACGGTTGGATATGAGTTCCGACCTGAACCAAGATGTGATAGACCTGTGAGGTGGTGTTGCTGCCGCCGTCGCTGGTGGAACTGGCTTGACGAATGATCAGTTCGGTGTCCCCTCTTGATCTTGCCATGCATAACAAAGCCTCGCAGCCATCTCCCTCCAAGACAGTAAGTTGGGTTTGGTTGGCAGTCGATTCTACAGCAACTCGAGCCGCGTGGCCAACCGACAGCTCAAATCGATACCACACACCAGGAGTAGAGTAGTCCCATTCGGCAGCGTCCAAGTTGTCATCGCATCGACCATCGAAAACGAGATCACTTGCCCAGGTCGCATTGATTGTGGTCCCCAAGATCCGGCTTGGAACGACAATGGTCAAAGCATCAATGCACTCATCATTGCTGGGTCTTGGCTCTACTGTTTCAAAACCAGTGGCTGCAAGAACAATGGTTCCTTCGTCACCGTCATCTTCATCTTCTTCCTCCTCTTCCTCGTTTACATCTTCCTCCTCCTCAGACGACCCTCCTTTTGCATCCTTCTTGTTGCCAGATTCACTGTTGTCAGAATTGTCTTTTCCATAAGACGACGACCCTGTTGCTGCGGGTAATTCTTGCACCACAATCTCAAAGGACTCCTCCTGCACTTCTGATTGTTGCGGTTGTTGTGACCTGTCTCCGCCATGAACCAAGACATAGTATCGCTCTCCTTCTTGCGGGGGCCACGTGACGGTAACAGTATTCGTGTCCGATTCAAACGAGTTGATACATTCCAGCCGATTGCAGCTGGGACCACGGAAGAGAGTCATGTGTGCACCTAGTTGTGAATCTTCTGGTACCTGTAGTGTCAGTCGTAGTGGGTTTTGAAAGCCACGAAAGCGATACCAGATCCCACGGATGGGCTCCTCATTGTTGTTGCTCCCGCACACATTAATATTGGAGGCATCTGGGAGCAACAACGCTCCTTCGGTGGTCCCCTGTACCGATTCGCCAAAGCGCAAACGAATGGCACGCGGACAGTTGTCATTTGGGAAATGTAATGGTGGTGCAACCGTAGCAGATGCTTCAGGGTGCATTGACGGTTCAAGATAGGCATCGATCATACCACCTGGAGATGGAGAAGGTGAAGGCTGCAGCGGCATAAACAAAACAGTTTCAGGACTACCCTGTTTTCCATCCTCGCGCCAGATGAAATGAAATAACTATCTTACCTCTTCCAGAGAACTTTCTTCTTCCTCCTCGTCTTCTTCCTGATCTTCTTCTTCTTGATCCTCTTCTTCAGTTTCCTCTTGATCTTCGCTGTCTTCATGATTCAACTTCCAATCTTCCTCGTCTGGGGCATCATCTTTTTGTGCCGATTCGTGCAACCGTGATCCCATGATAATGCGAGACATTCGAAGACGTTTGGCAGACGGACGATCCTCACCGTGCTCTGGTTCTACATGATGTATTCGCTCATGATCGTCGTTGTTGTCATGGTCTCGTTTGGTAATCAGCAGGTGTCGGGTACGACGTCCCCTGACGGCTCGTCGATGTCGTGAAGCCGTTCGTGATGATGATTGTTGTTGCTGCTGCCGAAAAGACTCGATAATGTGTTTTGGTAGGGTGGTAGCACTTCGTTTCCTCATGCCCATCTTTCGATAATCCCGATTGGACAAGATATGCCACCGATTTGCCTGCACTGAAGAGTTGTTGTGCAGAGGATTCAGAACGAAGCATACCAAGAGGAGAAATGAGGTTGACATTGTCCTGTCCAGAATCAGCGACACCATGTTCTTTCTCATCATCATATTATTGCGAATGGATATCAGTTGCTCTTGTGGTTGGCTTTGGTATACAATCCCTGGGAGGCTTATATTTGCTGCTTCCTTGATTCAAAAGTGTCACCAAGGCTTATACTCTAGCTAGCTAGGTAGTTGGAAGCGATAATGGTATGATGAGCAAAGGAACAACGGGATTGGTATCTGAGGATGTGTTTTGTCTGTGGCTACCGAAGATAGCTGGACAAAACTAAGAATCAAAAGGTGGGAATTGCAGTCGATTTGTGAGGGCTCCATCCGTTCGAGCACAGGAACGCCGGCCCCCTCTTAGAGATCTTGGATGCAGGGCTCGATCCATTCCTGCAAAGGATCCGTCACTTCTGCTCACAATTTATTTGCTGGTTCATTTCTTACTGATGAGGTATTCGTCCTTCTTGTGACGTCAGTCCCCTGACGAGACAAGAACAAGCGAAAGGCCGCGACCATGATGAGGGCGAGGACCAACCCATTCCTCCTTGTGGTACTCATCACAACATCAATAGTAGTAATAGTGCAAGCTGCCACCCCACAGCAGAGTACAGTTCCATCAGCTAGCCAGCAGTCACACTCATACAGTAGCAACATGGTCGAGGTAGATCCTTCAGGCGCCGGCGATGGGTCGGGAAAGAAATGCTTGACGCATTCCTATTCAGTTGTGGACGAAGATCACTTGGCCGAAAAGCGGGTGGAATCCTTGACCAAGATATTGACGGAACAGTACGGTGTACCCGATGAACGTCTGGTCAAGGCACTTTGTGCTCTGGGAGAAGGTACTGTACTGTCAAACCAAATTGGATGCTTTGAACAAATCTTTGCTTGAGTGACACGTTTTGGCTTGATACCCATGATTATTTACTTGCTTGCTTGTTGTGTTTGTTTTTTCAGCCACGGCACACATTGCCGTCTTGCTCATGAACTATGTGGAACATACGTATGCTGGCACGCAAAACAATTCCGGAGACGACCAGCTTCACTTGGATATCGATTGCGATAATGCCGTCTTTGCAGCCCTTCGAAATTCCGGTGTTTTTTCCATTGCCGCGTCCGAAGAAACTCCCGTCGAAACGGATGTGGGATCCGAGGGGTCCTTTTCACTCGGCTTTGATCCTTTGGATGGATCCTCCATTATCGACGCCAACTTTTCCGTGGGAAGCATCTACGGGATTTGGCCCGGTAAGGGCGTCTTGAATCGAACGGGACGGGAACAGGTGGCGGCGGCCGTGGCGTTATACGGACCCCGCACGACCCTCTGTGTGGCACTGCCGTCGGCATCCAATGGCAAGGGCAAGGATCACGTTCTGGAAGTTACATTGGTCCGAAACCGAATCGCCTGGGAACTCAGTCGCGATGATATTGTCATTCAACCGGACGGAAAAGTCTTTGCGCCCGGCAATCTACGAGCTACCAACGACAATCCACAATACGATGCCTTGGTCAAACATTGGATCAGTAACCGGTACACGCTGCGCTATTCGGGTGGTATGGTTCCCGATGTGTACCATATCTTTGCCAAGTCCAAAGGAGTCTTTTCCAATGTGTCTTCCGAAAAGGCAAAGGCCAAATTGCGACTCTTGTACGAGGTGGCACCCATTGGGCTCATGGTGGAATGCGCACAAGGTGTCACCACGCACGAATTTGACGATACATCCGTGCTGGATATTACCATTGGAGATCTGGATCAGCGGCTGGGGGTCTGCTTTGGCAGTGCCAATGAAGTAGCAATCTACAAAAAGTTCATGTTCACCAGCTAGCTAGCTAGCTAGCAGCAGCTGTGTGTGATGATAATGCAACTACAGAGTACGTAGTAACTCATCAAAAATTACTAGTAGTGCGTTTCGCCACAAGACTCTCTAATCTTGTATCCCGTGAAACATAATACAGGCCTGGCTGGAAGGTTTGATGCAGAAAAGTAGCAAAGAGGTTTCGAGTTTTCGAGTTGGCATTGAGCCCTTGTTGCCGATCGTTGTGTTCTCTCGGCAGAAATTTCTGATAGAATTCTTCTATCCTATCTATCTCTTCTTCTTCTTTTTCTTGACATACTTGGCCACAATTTTCTCTTCTAGCCCAAATATCCGCCCTGCTTCTTCAAATACCCTGGCTTCCCTGTCATTGACTTTTCCCTCCGAGAGGGTAACTGCTGCCATCGATCTCAGAATGTGTTCTCGTTGCTCAATACTGAGTTTTTCAATCACCATGGGAATTAAATCTTCTTCCAAACCTTTATCGGCTCCAGTCACCTTTTTCATGTAAATGGCGCGCTCCACGACATCTGCTTCGCCGACCACCGTGTGGGCAAAAATCAAAAATTGTTGACCGACCGCCACTCCTTCGGGTTCTTTGCGAAATGCTCCATTGGCCATTCGTACTCGCACCATGCACGTCAACATGAGAAATTCCATGGCCACACGTTGCTCGAGATTCTCCCAATCGGGTCCATAGGCCGGAAACCGTTTGCGACAGGTCTGACATTTGAAATACTTGGTAAAGACTGCGGCTCGTTTGATGGGGACAAAAAAGAAGGACACGTACAGACCAAGTTCCTTTTCTTTGCAGATCTGGTGTTGCCGACAGAAAGGACAATAGATATTTGCCTTGTCAATGGTTTTGCGGGTCTCTTCTTGACCCAGTAATAGTAAGTCAGCCATGGTGGTCTCTGCTGCCGGTATCACTCATGCAATCAAATGGAGCCAAAGAACACCCCTGCGGTTATACGGTTAGCACTACAGCTATGGCTGGTATCACGCGATGGATTCTTTGGGTTGTTGCTACCGGTATCGAGGTAGATGGTCGTTCCTGTTATCACTCTCCCACTACACCATCATTTGCAACTTGCATGATGAAGAAGGAAGCAGAAGATGCTTGCTTGCTGCTTGTTCGGGATTGTGGTGATTTCGAAGTAGACAAAGATTCTTCTAATTTTATTCGCGCGAAAGAAGTTATAGTTCTCACAAGCTCGCTGCGAAACAATGGTAGCTGTGGCCAAAGAGATCGTGCACTATTCGAACAATCTACTGGTATCTGGGTCCGTTGCCCAACATGGACCTGGATAGCTTCATCTGCGAGCGGTACCGGTACCATACCTGCAAGTGTCCAGCGATGATGCAGCCTAACCCTTCCACAACGACACGGAAAAGGACTTCTTTGAAGAAATTTTTTGCCCTTCAGAAAATCATCATTATTAAGAGCAGAGCGGCCTTGTGAAGCAATCATGGCCAAGCAGCCAACGCGGTTTCCCTTTCCCTTGGTTCTCCATTGCGTCCGTTTAAATACAACAGATCCATTACGCTGTCCTCCTCAAGCAATGGCAGAAGTTTGAAATCGTCGTCGATCCCTTCGCATCCTCTTTTGCTCGTGGCTCTGCTCGTTCGCATCGGATAGAACCCTCACGATCAATCGATCCCCAAAACTATGCAACAACTAAGATTGCACTGCTCAGTCGTCTGACGATGCCGTTACGGGATCATCGTCCTCTTCTCCACTTTGCAGGGTTTGCTGAGACTTTTGTCGCTTTTCATGGGCGTGATGCCGTCTGATTTCGGCGGCAAGACCCTCATCTTTGTGTTGTCGTAACTTTTCCACTTTGAAGTATCCTTCGGGCAACTCCGTGCCTTGTTCGCGCAAGATGTCTTCCAAATGCTCCGTGTAGTTTAACAAGCGTTCCAACTTCTGTTCAGCGAGCTCGTGCGTGACGCCGACAATGCCGTGACTGATGCGCACGTAGCGCCAGGAACGAAACACGACGAGAGCGCCGACCAAGGAACTGCTCAAATAGTCATGAAGCGTGAAAAAGAAGAGTTCAAAGGCAAGACTGACACCGATAATGATATAATCCAGCAGATAAAAGAGCTGTCGGAAAAATACGGAGGGACGCAGGACCACCATGAGGAGGTTGAGTTCAAGGAAAAAGACCGACAAGATGGTCATGGTACAAATGAAGAGGCCCTTTTCAATGGCGCGGACGGCTGTGCGTATTGTAGCGTATTGTTGTTGATAGATACAAAGAGAGTTTGGGAGAGATCAGAACGCTGGCAAGAGGAAATCAATAATTGATAAGAACTCCAATTGTGCAGTAGTACTCACCGTGCCACTTGTGACTGTCACAACCGATGGATATATTTGGTTCTGGTATCAGCTGCAAGTAAGATCCTTCATTGGCTTCTTGACAAACATCCTGGTAGCCACCGCCACCAGCAGCCAAGAATCTCATGTGATTATGATCGTCTGTTCCATTGTAGATCGTATCCGAACAGCAGGAGATTCCATCTCGTCTTATAATGTCACATGTGGGATACATGGCCAACAAGGTGACTTCGATAAAGAGAATGATAACATCTAAAAGCAACAGTCCCATCAAGGCATACTGCACCTTTTTCTGATGCAAAAATCCCATGACTTTGTACCGCCAGGAATCCGCGCCATGTTCTTCTTCCACGTGTGCTTCTACATCATGATGCGTGGGAATGGTCAAGGCAATGACACTCTCCGTGTCGGATTGACGACGCAAAGCTCTTGGCTTGAATTCCATCAGTTCTTGAATTTCCTTCTCACGAGGATTGTGCGCCATGCCGATAACGCCGTCACTCCATTGCTTGGTTCGCCGAGGTCTGGGACGGCGAGGAATCTCATTGACGCTACTCCTGATAGTTGGAGGGGGCAAGGTCACACTCTCGTCTTCGGGTAACTTTGGGAGGCTCATGTTGGGTTTGGTTGGTTGGTTGCTTGTGAAGAGCTCTCTGTTTTGTGGGGGGTGTGTCACATGCTACGCTGGACCTCCGTGGGAATGCTTTCTTGGTTTGTTCGCCTTTTGAAGAACTGTGGCTGGTTTGATTTGATTGGTGGAATTGAATTGGTGCGATGGTGAATACTCTTGCCACGTCATACTACCGTCCACACCCAGCAGAGCTGGTACGACTGTAGGTGTAGACAGGGGGTAGAGAGCACTACATACAGCCTGTGCATATGAACAGGATTTTTAGAGAGCCAGCCTGCAGTCAAATTTTGGCCTGGCAGGCGACGCGATTCCTGTGCAATTGTACAGGCGACGTGATTCCTGTGCAATTGTACAGGATCGACATGATTCCTGTGCAATTGTACAGGATCCGACCTCCTGTTCAATTGCACAGGAAATCAGATGTGCTTGCTGGTTGAAGGCAGCAATATCTTTTGATTTCCCGAAACCCCTGAGTCGTACAACAAAACCAGAAGCACGACAAGCGTTGACAAAATATGGTGCAAGCGTTTTAGTGCAAGCGTTTTAGTGCGAAACTCAGCAGTATTGGTGGAGATTTCCTTTGGGAGCCAGTGCACAACTATGCATCCACGAACTCTCCATGCTTCGAAACGTGGATATGTTGTGCGGGAAGAGCTGGCCAGGTAGCTAGCTAGCTAGCTGAGCTGCTTGCTAGCTAGCTGTTCCTTAACCATCTACTACCGTACTAGCTAGTAGCTTGTGGCTAACGGCACTCGTTGGGCACAAAGAGCTCAGACCATGCACACTTACTCGTCAATTCAACACCTTTTCCCAACATGGAAGGGTTGGAAACAACGTGACCGTCACAAAATCACGACTGAAGTTGCGCCTCCTTGGGAAGAGTTCAGGTCCAAAGCCAAAAACGATGCCAGGTCTGTGTGCAGTTTTAGGGCACCACAGACCACATGCGGCACTACACTACATGTACCGTGTCGTGCTCAGTGCCTCTCTCTGTCCTTTTAACAATTGACCATTCATGTAGTTCTTCTTTAGTTGCGTGTTGTCTTCTCCAGAGCAACCATCATCATCATTATGTTGGGGCGACATCACAACAAGCAAGCGCTGAAAGAGGTAGCGATGCCAAGGTTGACTAACGTTGACGATGTCGGATGGCTTCCGTGGCAGCAGCCGTGGTTTGTCTTTGGTGTCGTCCATGACTTTGGTCGCCTTCTACAAAAGCTCTCTCAACGAATTGTGTCCTCACAGTACATACGACAAGGCAAAGAAGATCCGGAAAAGCTCTCCAATGAAGTTGCCTTGCGTTGCTTCCAAGACGTGATTGATGACATGGTTTCCCTTGAATCCAACCTAAAACAGGAATATGGCTCGAGCGCAAGGTCTTGCAAGAGTCACACGCGAGACAGCATATTGATAACCAGTCACTTTTTGAAGGGGAAACTATCGTTGATGAAAGTTGGCATGAAAGGAAGGCAGCTTCGAGTGGCGAAAAAACAACTTTCTGCTGTGCTTCGGTTGGAAAGTTCGGCCAAATATCTCCAAGAGTCCATAGAGGAAAGATTCGAACTTCAACACTGCCCGCCGGACGCCGCCACCAGAAGCGATTCCCTTGTGTTGGCTGAGTGCATCGCCCGTGTAGCGGTTGACTGCCTTGGCAGCGGACAGCGCCAAGATCTCGCCACGAACCTAATGTACATGTCGCTACGCATCTATCAGAGGCTTGACTCCCACACACCGGTCGTGGACTTGGCAGTCGCCCACATCAATATGGCACACGCATTTTGGAGCGTCGGAATGCTAGACCGAGGCCGAGAAATGTGCCGGAAGGCTTTGGCCTTATTACTAGCAGCAGAAGCCCAAGACACAGCCAGGGCCCAAAAGGACTACATGGAAACCTTGGCGAAGTGCTACCGATTCTTAGGACACACGTCTCGTGATGATGCTGCCGCTCTGTCGTACTATCAACTAGAGTTGGAAATTCACGAGAAGCAGCGCTGGTCTGGCGAGACGACCGCAGCCGTTCATGTGGAGATTGCCGCGTGCCTTTGTTCGACAAGTCCGGAGCGTTCCCTCCAACACAGCGAACAAGCTTTGCTGCTGACCCAATGTAGCCTTCGCACAGTTGACATTTACATAAACATGGCAGCGGCACTGGCACTTGCGGAGCGTAAGGTGGAAGCAAGAAAGTACCTGCTCCAAGCTAAGGAAATGACTGAGGAAATGATACGGTTGGACGAAAGCGAGAGCAGCGATGAAGAGACTCAAATGCGTGCGACTCGACAGATGCTCTCCATTTGTGGCAGTTTGGGTCGTCTTGATGATGAGGATGGGGAACCTTTTGGCCTTCCATTGGAAAATGGTTCCCGTGAATGAAATCCTCTGCACCGTCGCCGTGTAAGCTTGTGAACGCTAGCTAGGAACGATGAACTATGCGCGTCCGCTAGCTAGCAATAGATTAATGAGATGAGATATCTATAGTAGGAGTCAAAGGTACCCTACCCAAGGGACGTCATCTCTGCAGTTTACTGGATCTGCCATACTTCCAAGATTGGTGATGAGAGTACCGTTCAGCTATTGGAGGCTTTCCGAAACGTGGATATTTTGTTTTCGCTAATCCTTCACGGTTTTCCGAGCTTTAAAAAGCACAGCCAAGTTTTCTGGTTGGCACCATTGTGACGTTGTTGATTGTGATGCCTGATTTTCATGGCTGATGGCATGGCCGCAACGAAGAAAAGGACGGATGTCAGGAGGAAGTTGGTTGCATTGCTACTTGGCGGGTCACTCTACCGGTAGAGAGTATTATCAGAGTAGCAGTGGATAGCAACTGTGCTCAAGGTTTGGTTGCCACGACAAAATCTTCAGGGTGGCAATTGAGAAGGTGAAGTCTCGTAGCAATCGAATTCTGCCCAACCGAAAAGGGATACGTATCTGAGCTCATTATTTCGGAACCATTCAGCAAAGATGCCAACTCTACCAACTATTCTATTGGCAATCTACCTTGCATTTCCTACGGTTTCTGGCTTTGTCACGACGACAGTGGCAAGCCCCAGAGTGTCGCTGTTACAAGCACGCACACGAACTGCATTCGACATCGATACTGAGAACCCAAACCTGGAAGATGTCACTGTCAGTCGTAGAAATTGGTTATCATCTACCATGATCACTGCAGCTGCAGCTTGTACAACTGCAGCATTGTCACCACCCACCAACGCTGTCGTAGCGCCTTCGTCTCCAAAAAAGCGATGTACGGATATTGAAAGTTGTCGAGAACTTGGGGATGAAAAGATTGCTCAAGACCTGAAGGAAAACCCAGTGACACGCCTTCCTTCAGGAACACGCTACAAAATCATCAAGCCTGGAGTTGGCGCGGAGACCGTTCAAGAGGGATCCTCTATCGACCTAATCTTCTCGCTGTCTCGAGCCGGTGGACAGTATATGTACAGTCAGGGATTTGGGTATGAGCTTGTGGAAGAGATGGGGACCTTAGTCAAGGACTCGGAAGGACTGGATAATTTAAGAGTGATGGTTGGATCGCACCAGCAGGTACCCATTGGGATTGAACAATCGCTGCTAGGTATGAAGCGAGGAGAACGTCGACGGGTCGAATTGACGCCCAACGTAGGCCTTGCAACTTCCAATTGGGAACCAGCACCTAAAACAGCAGCCGGGAAACAATCGGTGCGAGCCTACCAGAGAGTTCTAGATGGATTTGGATCTCAGCCGCCCTTCCCAGCTCCCACCATTTGGGATATTGAAGTGACACGAATTCGCAACTAGTCAACCTAGTATCGATGTAGCCAGCAAGCTATTGCAGTTCATTACATGCAGCACCCCCCGCAGTAAAGACAGAGACGTGATGTGTATACTGTAGTTGATGGCAGCCAACTGCACTACTAAAGTTAAAAAGAGCACGCCTGAGGAAGAGAGGAGAAGGTTGCGGCAGGGAGAACAAACTACAGATCGCAAAATACTCTACTAGCTATGCAAGGAACTCCAAAGAGAAAGCATGGGTGCAGGTCCCACAACAGGATCTAGCCTTGGACCCTCTCCATGCCGCACTCCTGGTGCCTGTACGAGCAACAGGACCACGAATCCAACACCTTGGCTACCGGTAGCTAGCATCAGGCATCAGGTCCTATTCCAGGACCAAAACCCGGACACACTCACAAGGCCAACACCTGGACCTGCTTCTGGCCCTATTCCAGGATCAACTTCTGCATCAACACCTTATTGTTTTATAGGAAACCTGCCAACTCCTAGCAAATGCCCGTATCCTTGCTGCTGGAACTGTGTCCAGGACCCGCTTCCTGCATTTGCAACACGAGTTCCACCGCCTGGCCTTATGCTGGTCCAGCCAGAAACCAACTCCTGGCCCAACCCCTCCATCTACTACATCGTCCTGGCCGAACCCCTCAGCCCGGTCTGCCTCGGGGTATTGGTGATACTATCACCATATCACCATTCTGTCTGCTGTTGTCTTGGGGTTGCCTGTGACCGTCGCTCGACAGGACGACGACTCGACTGAGTGACGAGTCGAGTCACCCGGCTTGATATCATGATATGATGTTATGTTCACTCGTTCACTCTTACAGGCAGCTTCGATTTTATTGATTCAAACGCGCGCCACTCTTTTCAGTACACTTCTACACGAGCTCTCGTAGAACTGTAGCAGAAATGCCGGCACGCGTTTGAATCAACAAAATCGAAGCTGCTCGTACTAGTACTGTCTCAGTTGGGATAGCCTGTTCTCGTTGCTACTAGGTACTGTAGTATTAATAGTTAGGTTAAATATTAAATCTCAGCCCCATCGGAGAATTTTATCTTAAATCCTTGGTCATTCTGCGTAATAAAGGAGTACTCCATTTAAAGATGGAGTATGGAGGGATGCTCCTGCTCCTGCCTTTTCTTTCTCCTTTGTTCATCACGCAATATCGCAATCAACTCACCACTCACCGCTCTCATGTGCATGTGCCCTGTGCCATAGACATCGCTACCGGTACCGCCACCGATACCACACCTCTATCGCCACCGCTTTTACAGAGCTACCGGTAGCCAGCTTGGAAGCAGAAAAGTCTAGCTAGTCGGTACCTGGTACCGGTACTAGTAGGAGGAAACCACAAGCGGCACGTCTCGATTCTCGAACACAATCCAGACATCCAGACCATGGCTGAGCTTCAAGGAATGGCGGGGGTAGCAGAGCAACCCGGACGGCACGGTCAGCCGGAGGATGGGATGGCCTGCCTTCCTGAGCACGTTCGACACATGCTCCACGAACCAATCAACATGGCACTCAATGACCACGAGATTCGTCGGGCTTGGCAGATCAAACGAGCCGTCGAAGCCAACGAGGAACTTCAAAACCTGACGGATTTTGAGTACGCGCACTATGCTCTCGGAACATCATCGCGGCAGAATGGAGACGAACCCATTGAGCAAGTATTGCATAGGATCTACATGATGCAATGCTTTCGAGAAGAGTACAATGTGAAAGATTCTCTAGAAGAGGGGATTCAAGTCCTCCATGATTTCACAATACAACATCGAGGTGTCACTCTTTCTGTGGAGTTTCTCCCCGAGGGGCGTAACTTTATCAGCGTCGAAGATCTGGCCAAGCTGTACCCAGCCAGAGATATGGCCACTCCGGATCAGGTTCGAGTCTACATGGCAGGCATGTACTACAAGAATCACGCCAAAATGCCATTCTTCTTCGCCATTCGGGATGGTTGCACGGCGGTGTGCGAGTGTGATTCCATGACGTGGGATAACTACGAGCATGTTGCCTTTGAACGTCTCAACGAACAACTTGTCAAGTGGTATCCCAAAAAGAATAAGGACTTGTTTTTTGTCAATACCCCATCGGTCATGAACTTTGTGTGGGGTATCTGGAAACGAATGCTCAACCAAAATCACAAAGAAACCTTCCATTTGGGTCAGCGCTTTGAGGCTGTCGATGACAGGAGGCTTGACTCTCTGTATTGCATCCCCAATGAAGAAGCGGCCCGTCGCAATGTCCTTCGCAAGTCTTTTGCATTTCTGCAGCTGCGATACAAGAATCAAAAGGAGTACAGGCTGCCTGCCTTGCCAGAGGAAGGAGCATAAATAAATTGCAATGCATTAGCATGATGTTTGCTTTGGCAGCATAGATCAAGTCGCTAGCTCTAAGATAATACTACCGTACAGTAAATCTATCTGAGGTTGTGTCTATCATTGGTTAGCTGGAAGGCAGCCACTGGACTTCGCCAACAAAAGAGAATGCCTTCTAAAGTACTGCCGTTACTCTGGACTCGAGATGGAGATGACAATTTTGCCTTTGGTTCTTCGGCTTTTCAAACTCTTGTAGCCCTCCACTACTGAAGTCTCGGTCAAACCCTGGGAAGTGTTGATGAGTGGCTTTAACCCTGCCTTATCCAGGATCTCGATACCCAGCTGTAGTCCTGCATCGTGGAATTTTGGACCTACTACGATGCTTTGTTGAAGCTTGAATCCAAGGACGTTCCCGAAAGCCAACATTTTGGCTCCCTTCAAAATCGGAGTATTCAGCAGGATGTAGGGAGAAGCAGTATTTGCCTCGTTGGAAAGCAGTGCCAATACAAGTGGATTGTCGCAATAATCTTCTCCAACGCCGCCACTGGCAGATGCTGCATCGTAGATGACATCTACTTTGCCAGCATTCTCCTTCAAGAAGGTGTCCATTTGATCCTGGTCATCATAGGGCACAATCTCCGTGGCCCCGTGCGTTCGGCACAAGTCGGCATTTTTGCTAGAGCAAATTCCAATAACACGAGGAATTGTCAAGCCTTTGGCCAACTGTAGAGCCGTGAGTCCGCATCCCCCACTGGATCCAATCACAAGAAGGGACGAAATGAGCGGTTTGTCGGGCATGGATAAGTCTTCCGGCAACATTCCCGCTGTTTGAAACCCTGCCAAGGCTGTCCCACAGGCTACCGGCAGCCCTGCACCTTCTTCCGGGGACCAATGAGCCGGAAGCTTGGTGACTCTGGACACGTCCGCAATGGTATACTCGGCCAAAGAACCCGCACCCGTGCCAACTACCACATCCCCCACTTTCAAGTCTCCACTATAACTGGGAGGTAATTCCACAATCGTCCCACAGAGGTCCGATCCAAAAACACTCCCCAGAACCAGTTTGGGCAATTTGTAATCCTAAACGAAAAGGGAAAAAGCTTAGCACTGTTGTGGACACGGAAAGAAAGATTTGTTTCAATGACAAGACATACCACTGGATTCAAGGCAGCCGCATGAACCTTCAACAGAACTTTATCGGGTTGACCGCACAATGCAGGAGTCGGAAACTCGTCATCAAAGCTCAATGTAAAGCCTGTCCACCCTGATCGAACGGCCGCCTTCATGGTAGATGGGAGTGGTAATGTCATGGTGAATGCTGGAGATCAAGGACGATGAAGCAACGAAGTGGATCCAACTTCCTAGACTTCCACAAGGTTTGAGGTTTGAGGTCAAAGAGAATGCAGCCAAGAGCTGGTAACTAACGACAACTCTAACGACCGTGAAAGTAGCCGTTGTTTCATTCGTTTCGATCGCGGAGTAGAGGTGCGTTAAGTATCTTTTGCACCCTTTAAATCTCTCTACGCTACCCTCGGTGGGCGATGCTCGGCATCTCACAGACTACTCTTCCATGTTGCAACCCTCAGAAATTATTCCCAGCCTTCCCTGTACTGGCAGTAATGTCGCTGCCGTACCGCTGGAACCTCATGAACTGCAATAGACTACTTCCGGTACATGTACTCTACTAGTATATCAAAGGGTTGTACAAGTAGTTTTAGCCTCATCTATTCTACGGCGAAATCTGTCAAACTTGGACACCGCACCAGAATGCTTTGTACTCATTGCAGGCACCACCATTGGAACATTGCGCTCATCTTAGCTCCATCCTACAGAGAAAGTCAATGGTATGATATCGTACCGGTACGATGTAGCTTGTTTTTCTCTCCATCGCTACGTAGCTACCGTACTAGTAGCTACTAGTAGCAGTAGCGCATCCGCAATCTCTACCGTGCACGTGCACATCATTCTGATTGAATGCACATGAAACGTGAAGGAACCATCACTCAAAGACTTAAAGAGAGAACATCAATCGCCAGCACTTCAAAGTTGAAACCCAGAATTTAGAGGGAATGAGTCGAATCAGTCGAGTGCAATCTGGCTACATCAACAATAAGCTTCTCTTGATTTTCTTTGACAGAACAAACACTTCTCCTCGCTGACGAACTAGTTCATTATTCTTGTGTTGGTCCTTTTTAGTTAGTAGTTTGACCTCCCCAATCAATTCTGATTTGACAGACAGACAAATGCGCTCTGACAACCCAAGCAACAGCATGACAAGTCTTTGGACTCAGGTCTTTCATGACGAAGACACGCTGACGGAGGGAGACTCGGTCGAAGAGAATTTGTTGCGTTTGGAACAGGATCTTCGCCAGTTGTCACCGTCCGTTGTGGCAGCGACAGAAGAGACCATGGAGAAAATCGATGAAGCTATTCATGACATTGGAGACTTGAGGATGGGGACGCTGATCATTCCAGACGAAGACCTGGTGGAGGATGATGATGATGACACTGAAGAAGAAGAGAAGGCTTTGATTCGTGACCATCATCAGCCGGCAGATGAGATTCGTGCGTGGACTCCATTTTGGTGTAACAATGGCGGCGTTGCGCCTGAACCGGAAGAAGAAAGAGAAGAAGCAGAGGCTGCTGCCGCTGCTACAGAAGAGGAGGCTCCTCGTCTCGAAGAGGATTCGACGGAGGGTGACGGAGAACCAACGAGAACCTTGGGGGCACGTTTCAAGGAATTGATGGTAGGATTTGTTACTATTCTTGGGAATTGTGTTGGAGCTATCGTCAATGGGATCTGCTACTGCTGCAACCAAATCAAGGCGGGTGTCTCCTACAGCTGCTCTTTTGTTCTGGCGGCAGTCCTGGCCTCGTGGAATAACACTCTGATGTTCTTCCGCAGCTTGAAGGGGCATATCGAAGAAGGCGTCACTTCCACGCAAACGTCTGCCCGCGAGTGGACTCATCAAGCCAAGGAGAGTCTGTTTGTTCCCTCTCAAACTATGCTACAAGCATTGTGTGGAGGACTCTTCTTGGGAATGGTGGCGGCGATTCTCATGGGACATCGAACACCCCAAGTTCCGTCTCCCAAGGAAGATTTGAGAGAATTTGTGACTTTTGAGAAAGCTCACAATGTCGTCGACCTGAAGCAGATTGAAGACCTCAATACCGAGGCGTTTCGCACTTATGCCCGATCGACCTGCGTGGATGCCGCTACCTTTGAACAAGCTCATGAAGCTCTCTCCATGGGGCTCTATGGAGTTCCGGATTCGGTTCGAAATGATGTTGTGCGAATGGCCATTATTGAGGGCGTCACACAAAAGAATTCGGTTCAGGATTCCAACAGTGACTTTGTCAGCCAGGGTAAGGCTGAAGCATACATGGCATTTTGGTCCACCGTCTTCAACCCCCACGACAAACAGCAGGCCTACAAAACCTGTGTCATGGTCACTGGGGTGGCACTAACCGTTGCCGAAACCATTGCTGAGTGGACCACCAAGGAGGAACGGTACCAGATTGGAATTGAGCCTTGTCATTGTGGTGAGTATCAAGCCGCCTTAAGTGGGATGATAGCCGTCTGCTGGCTATTGGTTGGATGGTCTCTCGCGATTCTGGTTTTGTTAACCTTTTTTGCTCGTTTCTCTAGGTTATCTCTACTGCGAGGAATGTCCTGTCTTTGACACTCGCCAGGTCCAGTGGCCTATTTTTGAACGACGCAGTTTGTCGTTGCAGAAACAAGAAGAGCTTCGCCGTTGGATGGTCGACCGAGCCATTCAATCCGCAGAACACCTGTTGCTGGGTGGCGGCGCTTCTAACAGGGCGCTTGGGAATGGAACGGATGGCAAGGCATGGAACCCTGTCAAAAGCATGACGTGGTCTGGAGAGTCCAATCGAGCCTTTTTTGGTCAAGAGTCTCATGTGCACGATCGTCCTCCTAAGAGGACCGTCTACCCTAAAACCAAGGCGGAAGACGTCAAACAGGATCTTTAAACTGGGATCCTACGCGCATAGAGAATGACTCAGTCGACTTATTCTGTTTCTTTTCTCCAACTCCTTGCATTGGATAGGACCGACAACCAAAGCAGAAAAACAACAAATCATTAGGTAGCAGAGTCATGGACGAACAACAAGGCAAAGAAGGAACTTTTTTATATTGCAGGCTTTCTATCCTGGCTAAAAGGGGACACAACGGACAGATTCAACAAACATCTATATTTATTTAGTACACATTCACTTCCTACAACATTTTACCCCTTGTCTTTTTCTTCAGCTCTTGTCTTCTTTCCCGTTGGCGGACTCTTAGAAGTGTAGAGTCGATGGGTTTGCCCATCATTTTGTTGACGCCCATTCGCTAGTGCATACTAGTAGGGTTTCAACTTGCACTATGTCAGCTCATGCTCTTCTATCTGTATCTCTTTCACGGTACTTGCCCCTTTTGCACTTGTGAGCTCCAGGTCGTCAAAGCAGATTACTTCATCCAAGCTCGTTGGAGCATCTTTGCTGACCACTGGAGTAGCAAACCTCCAATACAATCCGGCAATCAATAGTGATGTTGCTGCCAGGAATCCCACCAGCGGCAGAGTCTGTTCTGTCTTCGTCTGGGCTTTTGGTATGTTGCCAATATCTGCATGGAGCCAAAATGGAGTGGCATTGCCGTAGATTGTAGTTATCTCACAATTCTTTGACAGGAGACTCTCGTTCAATAGTAACGTGTGTGCTTCTCTAGAAGTACCACATGCCTTGGGCAAACAGGGGTAATCGCTCAACACAGATGCAATATCTTTTTTAGTTCCACATTGAACCGTGACATTGGGACCTGTGTATTCCAGCTTGGCGGAAGCTTGGCACTCGCAGGCAACATACTCATCGTATGACAGGCTGTTCAAATCGCACCACCGTACTCTCTCCTCATTAAGATTTTCCTCTGTGGTGACTTGGTGAGGTTGACTCAATTCATGGGCGATTATCTTGGAAATTCCCGTCATCTGCTGGTGCCAAGTCCCAAACTGCAAACAACACTCATCGCTCAGGTCGATCACTTGGCCTTTCTTCCGGCAGACCGGGTGGTCAATATTTGCCTTCACTGCATTGAGAATAATGGATATAAGAAGCGCCGGGTACAACAGCAGCAGCAGCTTCATGGTGATCCCTCCCTTGGTTTTTGGCGGCAACGCTTCTTACTGATGAATCACTGCTTCCATTGTGGCAGATAGATTCAAGGGGCGTTGGACGAAATTTTGGTCTTTTCTCCAAGCAACCAATGCTGAAATCGAATGTTGATCGAGGTGACAGTCGATCGAATGATTCGATTCATTCGATTCAATCGAATCATTCATCAGCTGTTTCAATCACAGTTTGGTGCTGCCTGGTACCGGTACCGGTACTGGTGCCAAGTATGTGAGTGTGACTGAGGTCGTCCAGACACGGTAAACTTTGCGGGCAATACATTTGAGTTAGTTAGACAACTACCTTTCCGGTTGGTTCGAAAAATACCCCCTGGCAAATGCAAATAAAAGATTTAAGAGGCAACGACTGTAACTGCCGTGACTTACAACAAGTTTTGACATTAGATAACGGCACTAAATGTTAAATCTTTCAGTCATACCAAAACCTTGACGGGATGCGACCAAAGAATCGAAACAGCAAAGTCGATCAGCATTGCACAATGGCGTTCAGTCGTCCTCTTCCACTTCTACAAGCTCTCTGACAACCTCCTCCTCTTCTGCAAATAGCGCATTCTCTTCGTCCCCCTCTGCTCCCTCGTCGTCATCGCCAACAGCAGATTCGAAACCAGGGGGAGGTTGAATTACAATCGGAACAACAACTTTTTCCCGTGCCTGATCAACCAAATGGTTGTCACCATTTCCGGCAACAATCAGCCTCAAAACCTTCTCCCAGCGCTTGTAGATGTTGCGAAATGCACGGTATGAATCATACTTTTCCCAAGCTTCCTCAACAGTTCTAGCCAAGGCATTGGCGCTAGTGTTGGTCCGTGTTCGATGCAGCTTTTCGACGTAACTTTGGAGACCCATCCAAACACCCAAATCAAGCAGATTGGTCTCCGGGCTCCTCGGTACTTGATGAAGCACCTGCACGTTATATTGCTGTTCCAACTGATCGACATAGTCAGCGATGCAATCTTTTGTACCATGGCCTCCAGCGTTATCCATAATCAAAATGATTTTCTGTGTCAGAGGGACCCAGTGGTAAGCCTTCCGAATTGCCTCTCCAATCAACAGCATGTTGTTAATCATGAACTTTGAATCGCATGTTACGTCTTGCTCATACTCATCTCCCTTGCGACGCACAAACTGCAGCTGGAGATGCTTCAGCTCCAAGGGGACTCGTGTCCTTCTGTTTTTGTCGAAGAAGCCAAGCTTTCCACCCAACGTGTCTGTTTCTTTGAGAGCTGCCCATTTCTTCTTTCCATGTTGGTTGTATGATACGTACCGCAACACGAGCCGATCTCTTGTTTCTTGATCTATTCCCCACTCGGTCTGAGCTTGGATTATGTCAAGCAACTGCTTTGCTGTTGTGTTGGGAGCGGAAGGAGGAACCAGACGTCTCCAGCTTTCATGGATCTGCCTGTTGTATTGGAAGTTATCCACAATCTGCTTGTAGTATGTACTCTTCTTGCATTGGACAGTTTCACTCACTCGCTTCATCATAATCTTCCCATCAAAGTCCTTGTCAGGGTGGGGACAAGCCACGACGCCCATGTACATCACCTTCTTTGTGAATCGACGGCTTGCTACTCTTCGTGGGGGATACAACTCATCGGTGCTGAGGTCTTCTGATGGTTGTTTTGGCAGTATCTTTCGCTTTCTTCTTCGGGAGATGATATAGAACCACTTCTCATCAAGCCAAACATAATATGGAGGGCCAGAATGGGGCTCTCTGAAGTCATCATCGACCGATGAGTCGTTAGATGCATCATCAGCAGCACGTTGCTCCAGACCGGCGAGATAATGTTGCTCAAGCTCCCGTAGGCGTTCTTGCGACCATTGGGAGGCGTTGAGCTTTCTTTTCCTCGGTTAGGATCGGCCTTGAGACAGAAGCTTTCGCGGTGCCCTGGCGTCGAGTGAACCACGAGTGCAATGCCCAGCGACCAAATTTTTTCAGGTGCTTCTCAGGGTCACTCTCTTTCTTCGACAGTTCAATCATCGCCGCGGCTAGCTCCGAGTATGGACCATCATCACCGGCTTCTGATGCACTTTGAGCTTTCCGGAAAAGGCTCAAGATGTAGCCGGGGTAGACCTGATCAAAACTATCAAGATATCGTGAGTTTCGGCCGCCAGCTTTGAAGTGGAGTGCATCCGGCAACAGTGTCTCCCCTGTCTTGACTGAAGTCTCAAATGTTGTATTCCACATTCGAACACGGTTTCCTTTGGGTGGTTTTTGGAATCCTTTGTCATACGCAACAAGCCGACAGGCAGCTTGTGCTATATCTTGTTTCTTGCTCTTTGACAGCCCAGGAGTCGCGTATCCCCACGATCGTGCCACACACACGATAACCCATCTCATGAGGGGATCTGGACGCCTCTGTTTGATCAATCCAATACTACCGGTTCCAAATCGCGATGGTCTCAAGCCGTTGTCATCTCTTCGATCGAAGTTCAGGTTCTTGGCGATGTACATATCGGTTGGCTCGCTCCAGTCAGGTCGAGGTTGCTGGAGTTGCTCCAATATTGCAGATGGGTTCATTGGGTTGGAGTAAACATGACAATCTGCCTCCTCCTCCATCTCCGTCTCATTGGTGCCAAAGGCAATGCTGTTGTCGCCGTTCGGGAGTGGCAGCAGAACGGTTTCGATCTCTTCTGCGAATTCAACGGTGTTGCCGTGAACTGATGGGCTCATCCTTGGAGCGACAATGGAAGTGACACCAAAAGATATCCGTCTCCGTGTGTTTGTGTGTGGTGTGGAAAGTCCACCATCCGGATTTGGTCGCTTCGACGCTGTGCTTGGGTTACTATTCTCTTGGTCGGAAAGAGCATCCACATCTCCCTGATCAAGAAAAGGTGAGTTTACGTTGTTCCCTGTACTGTAATTCTGGTTCCATGAAGCTATTGCTCTTTTCAAGTCTGTCACTTTGCGGTTTGTATTGAGCCCTCTCCTTATAAAGTGAATTGGGGACTTCTTGTGGATGAAACGCTTGAGTCGGTTGCCACCACCAACGTCGTCGCCAAAGACTGGAATCTTCGGATCAGGAAATGACACAGTTGGGTGTTGCTCTGCTGCTCTTGGCTTGTTCCTGATTACAAAAAGCAACTTCCTTGGCTGGTTGAAGAGCGTAAGCTGACTCTTCTTAAACATAGCCTTGGCAGGTCTGAATCGTTTGTTTAGCTCTGCAATCGAGTTGTCGTCGCAAAGGCTGCAGATAGTCGCTCCGTTGGCTGTTTCTTCGAAAATAATGCCGGTAGCTAGTAGCATGTTATGACAAGTTGCATAGTCTAGATCTAGGACTTGACAGAGGCTATTGTTGGCTGCTGCGAGATCTGGTGCCGTCGGTAGCACAAACCAACGCTTGCCTACAAGCCGTCCAAGGAGTTGCTCTAGAAGCTGGAACGTTGCATTTGCCACTATTTCGTCTGCAGCCAAATCGCTTTCAGATATCATTGTTGGCTACAGTATTCTTTAAGACTATGATAGCGCCTAATGCGATTGAAGAAAAGCAGCCAGCCAGCGCACGAGAGATGCCAACAATGAAGAGACGAACGGAGCATCAGGGGCTGCTTGTTTTCAGAGACTCAGCAACTGTTTGTTCCGCGAATCGGAGAGCTTCTCCGAACAGAAGTGCATCTTCATTGAATGGGATTCGGAATGTCATTGAGATGATCCCTTCCTCTTCCAATGAACGGAGGCAAATTTTGAGGGCTTGGTTGCCACCGGAGGCACTCACAACTTTCTTGGTTTTGTCCATTGTCCAACGAGAACTCACTGGGAGACAGAAGGTTGCACATGGCACACCATCATCACTATACATAACAAGGCGGAAGAGTGGCTCCAATCTGTAACGTTGGAGGCTCATGGGGCCAGCAATCCGATGAGTTTTTGTTGCTGCTGAATTTTCGTCCGTACTCCACGGGACAGTAAAATCAAGCGTTGCTGCGGTTTCACCGGCAGCCTCTCCTTGGAGTGTGACGATTGCATTCCATTTGTTTTCCATTGTTGGAGTGGAGTAGATTGTGAGTATTGGATGAGACTGCTGTTCGATCCGATTAGAGAGTCGGAATGGAATGGGCGGGCAAATTCAAATTCAAAGAATAATCCTATGTTTTTGTGAGAAGAGAGCCCGGGTTGATGCATTGTTTCTTTGGCAACACAAGCTCAACACAGCAGTTCGCACAATCAGTTGCACTTACAGTCTCTAATCATGGCGCAATACTCTTCTTCTCGCATGCATATCACCGTCTCCCATGGCATTACCAACCGTGCGACTTTGGAAACTCTCTCTGAGCGTGATCTTGGCAAGCTCAACACTGCGCTTGAAAAAGCAATCGAGCTAGGAATGGAAAACGATACAAGGATGGATGTGGCTTTCTGCAGCAATGTACACTTCCCCGATGACAAGCTCTTGGATGTAGTCGCTTTTCTTGACAAGCAAAAGGGTGTGCGCAAAACGGTGGAAGCATCCCATGATCTGATCATTTTCACAACAACGGCGGAGTTTGTTGTTACCATCCGCTTCTACGGCAACAAGAAGCAAACCATCAAGCCCACCCCTGCTATATCCAACCACAAATATGCCAAGGATGAGTTGCTTTTCATGGCTCAACCATCGGGCCGTCGTGGTGGTGGCCGCCGTGGCCGTGCCAAGAATCCCCCTCCTCCATCTGTCGATGAGGACGATTCGTCTGTCGAGGTCGATGTGGAGCTCTCTCAAGCTTTTGTTGCATTGGGTCACTCCACACCTCGCAAGTAGAAGACCGCACTGTGTTGTTGAACGGCACTTTTCGCCATCTTGATGGAGGCAATGTGCAATACACGGCTCTTAGCCTTATTCGCGACTCGATCCTAGATAGGGTTTGAGTTCGACTCATGACTGAGTTCTAGCCTTATTCGCGACTCAGCCTAGATAGGGTCTGATTCGACTCATGACTGAGTCTCTCGTGAATAGTCATTTGACAGGGTTCTCAATGACCGCTTAGTCATACTAGGTTGATGGATGAAACATCGCTCTCAGATATTTAGCCAGCGTGGGAATTATTCACGCACTAGATAATGCTAGACGAATCTTCACGCGTTCCGTTTTTGGATCTGAATGAGTAGGATTGTCTACCGCAAACCTACTCTATCACACTTCTACAGTTTCCGCGCGGTAGTTCAGATTTACGATCCTTTGGTTGTAGAATCTCTCTCGTTGATTAGTTTCTGCTTCTCAACTCTCAACTTCATCCCAAAAATCAAAACACTCGAAAGATCTTTACACTTAGCTTTAGCGTAGTGCATTTTGTTGAACAAACACAATAGCTTTTCAGCTACCCTCAATACTATTCCTCAACATGAAGATTGCCAAGACGCATACACCAGCTTCGAGTCTAAGCTGCAGTGACAAACCCATCCTCTCTCTCATCGAACCTCGATGATGTAATGCGAAATCGACGATTCTCGCTCTACCACCTACAACTTCGTACTGTTCCAGCAGATGCTGTACAGCGCACAAGTACACCTCAAGAGTCCAAATCATTCAAAGGATCTGAGAATCCACGTCAGACCATCAAGTGGGCTGAACGTATGGAGAAGGTCTTCGTGGACTCTGCCATTGCTACGCCTGACGACAAACATAACTCCTCAAGGAGATGACTTCTAGCGTCTGCCAAGATCAGCTACGAATCTAGCTGTGGAGGCCACCGTGAAATACGTTGGAGTGCCTTGCGCCAGATTGCGTCAACGCGATTCCTCCACGCCGACATACTTGGCGGTGAAGACGAAGCCACTTTCTCAAGCACGTTTCCAGGCTGCCTGAACTGAGCACTCAGCCTGCTTTGGACGGACGCTGACATTAACGTTTGGCATAAATGCCTGTATCGAAGCGGTCGTGTCCCTACAAGGCTCTGAAAAGCAGAAAAGCTTCAATGCGTCGCAAGATGCGTAAGCCTGCTGATATGTCTACTCGGGCTTATGTCACAACCTCAGTCGGATGAACACCGATTGAACTTCCTGTTTCTACCACCTTTTGACCCCAACCAAACATTGACCATGACGAAGTCATTGACATTGTTGTCATGGATTTCCACGCGTCGTGAGATGAAGAAGATGAACGAACACGACTTGATCTCTTCTCAGCTCCTTATCGGAGAAACCTTTGGATTTGCGAACGCATGGAATCCTCCCGAGACTTTGACAAGGCGAGGTATGCCAAGCAAGCTCCTACGAGTAAGAACGAAGAAGCTCCAAGATCAGTTTACTCGAACAACGACCACTCTTCCAAAGCAACTAAGAAAATTGGTTGCCGACTACCACGAGTCCAGCACTTCACAACACTGCTGACTCGCATGACTTGAAGAAGCCCAGGCCTAAGTCTCAGTCCTCGTCTCGACAACCCGATAACAAGCCAACGCTTTAATCACGAAACAAGAACTTGGAAACGCTCAAGTTCCGACGACGCCAAGACCATTGACACCAAGAAGAATCCCCTCTGTTCCTCATGGAAGAAGGTTCCAACGCTGCGTCAAGGTTGATAAGAAGAAATGCGAATGCAACCATGATTGGCAAAGCGCAAGTCATGACAACTCCGACAACGAGGACGACTCCTCTGTTGGATCCATCAACATTGATGGACAAGAAGGATGGGCCGCTGTCGACAGGCAGCTGCCGAATTCGACTTCAATCTTTCGGATGGAGAGATCTCCGTTTCTGAGGATTAGGCCAGGGTATGATTGATTCAACGGAACACATGTTTCCCGATATCTCATACCTAAGTGATGGAGATATCTCACTAAATAGTAACAAGATTTGTTTGCAAATAACGAAGTCTACGGCAAATTAGATGATTTCCTAGAATCTGCTCAACTAGACACTGACCATCTGTTCAGCATCGTTAACTTTCGTCCATGGCCATCAACTCATCAACGTCGCACGACAAGAGACTTTGAAACTATCTTCTTCTATGTTAGTTTTAACAGACGAGCGAAAGGGAAACGAAAAACCGTTACACTCTGTTGCTTACTGGATACAGAAGCATCCGGAACTTTAATTGCTCAAACTCATGCTTAGAAATTACGCATGAAGGAACATGGGGGCGACCAAACAATGCGGGACTGCTTCTATGAAGGAATTTAGACCCCGCACTAAGTGTAATGGCACACTCGCGATTCCTGAGTTCACCGATCGATAGAATATCAAGTGGAATTTACAAGTAACCAAGAACTTGGGGACGCAAGACATGATCATAGGTCAAAACACTCTCTTCGACCTAAGAATCAATTTTGATTTCACTACCATGTCATGGGGGTGGAACCATGCATTTTTCCCGGCGAAAGGGAGCAACACCAATAGAAAGGAGAACTTCTCCAATTCCGATTCTGCAGTGTCAGCGACATGCAATTAGTCTAAAGAGATTCTTGATACGACGTCGAAACAACAGGCTTAAGGCAGATATGCCAGAGTCGAAATCCGTTAACAAGGAGGAGGTCAAAGAACTGCCTATCTATCTCAACCAAGTCTTCCGACCCAGTCGAAGGATACTTGGGAGAGTTGCGAAGGGACGACTACGAAGTAGAAATTCGTCCTGACGCTAAATCCTATTATACTAGGGCTCACCTTACTCCACGGGTCCATACCAACACTCTTAAGAGGAGGTGAACGTCTCTGCGAGAAACGGGGCACTCAGAAGGTGTAGAATCGTCCAAGTGGGCTGGCAAAACTTTTATCAGTTTCTCAAGAAAGATGGATCTGTTACGATTCATCTCGCTTTTCGGGAACCGAAAAACGGAATCAAGGGAAGCCTTATCACTATCCAAAGATACAGGACATCTCTTGAACTTCCAGATGGATTCAAGTGCGTACAGTCTAGACCTGAACACGTGGACAATTCCACATCGAGCTGTCACCTCACTCGAAACAACACTATGCCATTGCATATGCCATTGCACTCCGAAGGGGAAAGTCACGAGTACAGAGGTTGCCATGGGCCTATGTAATAGTCTCGACATCTCTCAAAGGAAGATGAAAGCCGATATGCTGACTTGAGAAAATGTCCGTGCATACGTTGAATGATCAACTCATCCTAACGCGTCGATCTCGCAGATCGAGTTGAACAGTAGGATGATTTTTTCCCCAAGACTCCAAGAAGTCGGGATTGAAATCAACACTACCAAGCTTCCTCGATAGGAAAAACTGGAGTATCTAGACAATTGGACTTCTCGAGAAGGAAGCCCACTCTTAACTAAAACGATAAACAATACGATCCAGCTATCGCTCTTCCTACCAACAGGAATAACTTCGTAGATTCATTGGACCAATGAACTACCAAGGGCTGCTCCACGGCAGCAGGAGGTAACCATCGTCTGAACCAGACGTGGGTTACCCAGTATCATGACGGTCGTCATGGACAGAGAACGTGAATCCGCGTAGAGGTCGAGAAGACTTTCCGGGTGAACATGGACTTCGTCGGAAGTTCACGCATGTCAATCGTGACAAGCTCCCACATCCGTTTCAAAGAAAAACGGAAATACAGTCAAGAACGTCGCCAACTACTTATCCAAAAAACACGATAGGAGAAAACGGCACGTGTCCCTCATCAACACACTGTCAACGACACTATGATGATTCTCAATATCAGAACCGTTAATACGGTCAGCCAACGCACAAGGTCCTTACACACAGACCGATCAATAACAATGGCACTGACGCTCCGACATACTACCGCAGTAGCGGCACAGTCTACCGACTTGGACATAAGGTATTTACACCAATACAAGGCCTGATCCCATTGTAGGATTGCCATCGTGCGACGCACATGTCTACATCCAATCTCGGAGAGTGCCCCGCATTTTATTCATATGTTTCCTTGTCCGACTGATGCGTGCCTTCCGTGACCCTTGTCAGGGGGCGAATTGCAATACACGGCTCTTAGCCTATTCGCGACTCGATCCTAGATAGGGTTTGAGTTCGACTCAGACTGAGTCTCTCGTGAATAGTCATTGAGACAGGGTTCTCAATGACCGCTCTATCATTACTAGGTTGATGATGAAAATCGCTCTAGATATTTAGCCAGCGTGGAGTACTTCCACGCCACTAGATAAATGCTAGACGAATCTTCCACGCGTTCCGTTTTTTGGATCGTGGATGAGTAGGATTGCTACCGCAACCTACTCTATCACACTTTACAGTCTCCCGCGGCGGGAGTTCAGATTCTCATAACTTTCATTCTCTCAAACTCAAAACACTCGAAAGATCTTTACACTAGCTTTTAGCGTAGTGCAAATGACCAGTTCGAACGTTCTCCTTTTCGGCAATGAGGTTGTGGTATTCTGACAGCGGCATTGAAAGATTAAAAGTAATATTTTATTAGCTTAAAGTCAAAACTTGTTTGCTCTGCCTACTTGCTGAAAAATCGTTCCTATGTACTTGAATACCGTATCTTAAATCTCCAATAACGGTGTGGATCGCCAGCGTGGGGGGTATTTTTCGAACCAACCGGAAAGGTAACTCGGCCGAGTGGTTTTTAAAGGCGGGAGATTCGAAATCTATTGGAGTTTCTCCGCGTAGGTTCAAGTCCTGCTGTTGTCGGTCTCCTTTTCTTCTGGGGGCTCCTTTCGGGATACATGTGCCCTGTCCTTTCGGGATACGGCTGTATTTTCCTCAGCAGCAAAGTGTGTTTTATCTAGCTACTATTGCTCCCTTGGCCGACGACAGCGTGAAAGCTGTTTGTTGCCTCAGCTCTCCACCAAACCAACCTTGGCTTCAAGCTCACCTCCAGTCACCGATACTACATGTAGCTACAAGGTGCATGGTTCCGCATCTGCCCTTTCCTCCCAGCTTTCACATCACACCATCTTTGGCGTTCTCCTCCCAAGTCCCAACCATGTTGAGCCATCCGCGTTCTCTTCCCAACTTCCTTCAGCACGTCAGTAAGGCTAGCCAGAGGGAGAGCATCTTTCAATCACTGATTCTTACGTGTGTCTCAAATCAAAGTCGAGTGGAGTTCGACAACTACCCTCCAAAGCCTTCTGAGGAGGAGGAACAATTATTTGCGTAGGAGTCGACTACGAAAGTCATGGGTGGACCAATGAGTTGATTGAGACGAGACCAAGTTTTGGACCCTGTCGGAGGGAAACCGGGAAACCCTTCTTGGCTTCAGAATCCAGTACCACAAGGTTAGCCGTTCGCAAAAGCTAGATTGGAGTCCGCGTTGATTTGGAGGTTAAGTTTCGTCCATCTTCAAGCCCAAAATATTTGTCGGGGCATCTGGCAAAATGTTGGCTAGGGACACATCCAATGACGTTATGGATCCAACCGCTTTCAAGAAAGATTAGCAGGTTTTGGATTCTGGAGCCATGCTTTTCTCTGCTGTTGAGGGAATCCAGCACCCCGTACAATGCCTTCCTTTGCTGTTTTGTACAGGTCGTCTTTGCTTCGGAGAGTTGCCCTTCCGGAAGCAGGCGACAACTGTGTTCACGCCGATCATTCCTGCCACTATCTAGAGCAAAAAGGGAAATAAGCGCCACTTGGCCCTGGCTTTATATTCCACATAATCGTCCCCAAAGCACTCTTCCAATAGCCCTTCTTCGGATTGCATTCTACCCCAATAGAAGTACATTGCTGCACCGAGCATCAACCCACACGCGACAGGCGCTCTCAAAGTGAGGAGAGTCGAGCTGAACAAGAGGAGGTAGGCGGTGTAGATTGGATGGCGAACAACACGGTAGGGACCCGTGGTAATCAACTCGTCTGGTTGGGCCACTCGATCATAGGATTTGCCCAACTCCCAACCCGAGCATCCCACGAGTGTCAATGCCAACAGTCGTAGCGCGAGACAAGTCCTGGGGGCAAAGAATGATGCATTGGAATTTACGTTCTTCCGCGCAAATTGGTACGTTGCAAACCAATGAGATCCCACCAAAGACAAAATGAAGAGGAGCAAGGATTGGATGGAAGTAGAGCGCTTCTTGGTTGACTTGTCAGTGTTGGCTTTGGCGAATTTTCCAAATCGAAAGGATCGAGGGACCACTAATGAACCAAAAAAAGCAATGTACTCGTAGGGGATTGTGGAAAGGACGCATGCGCCACAGAGCTTATTTATGGCTAAACCAGAGGGTAGAAGCAGCAAAAAGTAGATGCTCAAAACAAGTTGGATTGGTAGCCGAAGTTTCTCTTGGAGAGTCAGGGGAGTCCAACGATTCAAGTCAGAATCATCGTCAACAATAGACGATGACTGAAGAAGCACAGGCGTCTTGTGGCCAACGTTGAGCCTTCGAGGCTGGGGAAGACCTTGATGCCTTCGTCCCTGGAAAGGCAAGCCACTGCTCTGAGGCCATGTCTTTGAAAGAAGTGCCGAGAACGCTTCGGAGGGTGCACTGAAGCTCACCACCACCAACGCAGCTAATAACCGAACAAGTAGCTGGAATGCCGCCACCATGTTTCTCTTCTAGCTAGATGTAAACCAAGAGCACAAAGATTCTCGGTCTTTGATGCTGTTGATGTCACTTCCTTTTCCAAATCGATTGAGCCAAAGATCGCAAAGTTGAATCGAATCGAAATCGAATCAGATCGAATCAATCGGATTGAATCGAATCATTCTCGAACCATACGGGTGGATGGTCTCAAAGTCTCAAAGCAGCAAAGCAATGCAGAGCCTACCTACTGGTAGCTAGAAATTGGCAGGGGACAGCTGAGTGCCACAGAATGACCTAAGACAACTCCAGCTAGCTAGCTAGGCCCTTGCCTACCGGAAGTTATCCTGGACCAACCCCAAATCCTGGGCCATTGCCAGATTCAATGATCTGCACAAACTGGTTCCTACCTTCTCCTCCGCTGATCCCGCCCTGCCTGTCCCAACAGCAAGCTTCAAGATCCAAAAGTAGGATAGATACCAGCTACAAAATTCATATCTATAAGTGTTCTATCCCGGAAATAACAATTAGCCTCTCTTTGACAACCTCTCCATCTGCTCAGGGTCGTGAGTGATCCAAAGAACGCAGGTTTTGTGCTTTTCGCAGTATTCATTGACACTATGCTCCACATTTAACTTGGAGGAAAGGTCCAACGCTGAAGTAGACTCATCAAGAAGCAGAACTTTTGGTCGTGAGGCCAATGCAATGGCCACAATGACACGTTGGGCTTCTCCCCCCGACAGAAGGGACCACTCAGACTCCAAGGCTGCACCCGGATCCATTCCCCACGCCTTTACCAAACGTCGCACTTCCTGTATCATATCGTTGACATTGTGAGTACTGCTGTTGGATATCTGAAGGGAGTTGATTCGTTGAATGAATGCTCTGGGTGTCCCTGGTAGATCCACCTTGAATTGTGTCACATATCGCACACAGTTACGCCACTGGGTTCGGTCAAGTTGCGAATCAAACACGCTTTGGCCACTCTTCTTGACATCATCGTGTACTTGTAATGAAATAGACCCAGAGTCTGGGCCAGCCGTGGGCTCCAATCCAGCCACCAATCTCAACAATGTGGACTTCCCACAGCCACTTGGCCCTGCGATCAGAGTCATTTCACCAGCCTTGAGCTCCAGGTTCAATCCTTGAAATAAGACGCGACGACGTGGATTTGTATCGTTAGCAGGTTGCCCTTTTACTTTGTCATCAATCACCTCTTCGTCCTCGTCTTCTGGGACAACAAAGGAGTGACTCAAGTTGGATATTTGCAATAAGCTAATCTTTGTGGATTGTGGTTCATCTGGTGCAGAGCGAACCTTGTGGAACTCAATTTGGTTCGTTTCACTGCCTGATACATCTGGTTTGTTGTTGCTGTTATCGCTCGCCAAGAGCCCTGTAGTTTCCGTGTCGATTCCGTTGGCTGCTGGAACAAGCAACGAGTTCCCATCGTCCTTCTTGCCTTTAGCCCCTTCAAAGCAACAACCAAAGCAGCACCAACAGACTCGGCAAAAGCTGGTCCAACTCCTGGTGAAACCTTCTTTCTTGGCGGCTTTAGAGTCCACAAAGAAGTCCGTACGCAGTCGATAGGAACTGTCAAATGCCGCCCGGAGAGCAATGTTGACTTCTGCCAGGATCGTCCCGAACACTGTCATGGCTATCAGATACATGATAAGCATTTGATAGCGAGCTGCTTCTGTGACTGGTGCTCCTCCAAGGATCTGACCCGTCATCCTTTCATCAGCGATTGTACGAATGAGAGTTCAGGGTTTCACAATCATTACGGTCGTCAGATGCTGCATCAAGATGTCTGCACTTACATGCCAGGAATACTAATTATCCCAATGATTGCCATTGAGTTCAACTGAGGCATGGCCCCTACTCGGACAGATTCTCGCATCAAACGAATTGTCGCCTCTTGGGGTGTGGCACCGAAACTCAAGAACAATTCCACTTCTCTCGCCTGTTCCACCAAAGCAGTCAACATATTGTTCAAACTCAATGCAATTCCATTGATGCAGTTCCCCAGCAACATGCCGACAATGGGGATGAGGTATTGAGGATCCCACAACGGCGTGGGTCGCAAGATGACGCCAAAGGAAAACAGGGATACCCATCCAACATTGAATCCCAGAGCTGCCAGAACGGCCAAGAACATGCCTGGAAACTTGTACTTGGATCGATTCATAGACTCGTAGGCTGCCAGTGTGACCATGAGCATCGTATAGGCCAGAACCAACCAACTGCAAGTTTCTCCACGGACAAAAATGGGCTGAAGAATCATCCCGAGAATGGAGAGCTGGACAAACGTTCGTATAGACCCCACCACAATGGGTCGTTCCAAGGACAGCTCCATCCTGTAGCTAATGTAAACGACCACCAACAAAGGTGTCATGGTAAGCAGCAGTAGGGGGACGGAGACATGAAGGAGCAACATCTCAGGGTTGGTCCCCGCAGTGGCCTCGGAAAGGAGCACATGCTGTGGTGCCGATGTAGTCGCTTCATCCAAGGATCGACGGTAGATGACATCGAGCTCATTGTCTTCGTGGTAGTAGGACTCGCTGCCTACGAGACTTGTCATGGCGAAAGTTCAACGTCAATACACACACACACCACACACACACACACACACACAGAATCATTCAATAAAGCCTACGGTATGCAACAAGGACGAGGCAATGGCTGTTGCCAAGCTTGTCTTGGCTGTTGAGTAACTGTCGATGTTTTGTTGATAGTGGGTTGTTCTTCCTCGTGGTGACCGGCAGTAGTTTACTCATGGCAGGCGAAGGAGCTTCGTTTGGTGGATGACGTGTTCTCTTCAGTCTTGGGAAAAAATGAAGATCTTTGTGAGATTCGCTCGCTCTTCTCCAATACACCAGTCCATGCTGCGTCCCCCGGTCGGCCATGGCGAATGTCCAAGCCCACAGCTGCAAGAGCACGACGCTCTCAGCATGATCCTTTTAAAAAATTTGTTTTGTATTGGGTATTGGGCAGAAAACTCTAGCTGGCTACTTTGGCTTCTAAAGGTAGAAGAGAATGCATGAGGAAGAAAAATTTGTGCGTAGGTAAACGGAATCGAGACGGAAAAGAGAGACACAATGAGCCTCATTCTTTGCCTCAGAAGCTAGCCTGAGGACACAATAGCTAGAGCTGTACCGGTAGCAGACGAGGCTGGTTTGAATTTCTTAGTTGGAATGCGTTGACTGCAGTTGGCTGGCCAAAGTACATAACCGCAACTGAAACTTTCCGAATGAACTGAAATTGAGATGGGACCCAGACGACCATTGCTCCGCTCCGTTCCGATGTGGTGCCTTAGCACAGATTGTTGTGCTGCCAGAACCAGTCATAGCCACCGTTGCCACGTAGATTTTTGATTTTGTCACAACCTCGGGATTTCAATTCACTCAGCCAGGATTTCCCCTTCATATCCTGTAACCACGTTTTGTGGTCCAATGCAACGGCGCCTCCAATGTCTTTGGTGAGACCCACCTGGCCCAGAGTTTCCTGGACGGGTTCATTGGATCCCGAATGGACCCGAATACCTTTGCGTAGCCCATGAATACTTTGAGCTGAGCAAGGGAAAGACTGAAAGAGGGTTGGTGGTTGGATACATCTTGGGACAAACGCGTGGCAATCTCTTGGACCTGATAAGGCCTTCAAACCCCTCACATAAACAGCTGCATTGAAGGATGATTTGATTTGTCCACTTTTGAAGATCCCGTGTTGAGGTTGGTGGTGGACCCAAGACCGGTCAGCAAGTCAAGCATCCTTCAGATCGTAGCGTGGTCCTTTTTGATCCTGCTTTGCAAGATATCGCCAAGAACATCGCGGAAAACTCCATAAGGACCACCTTTCATGCGGGCTTGATCGATGAAGATACACAAAAGAAAGGAATGGTACTCCTCGCATATCCTGCAACATCCACGAACAAACATTTCAAGGATACAAATGGAAATTGCTCCCAGTGTCAGAGGATGGCTACCTACCCAGTGAGCAGTTCTTACAGTTGGTAATTGACGTTTTCTTTCGTTCTGCAAAGCTCTTTCTGGTGCTTTCCCTGTTGCGTGTTTGCCATTAACCTACACTGGGGGAAACGGTTGCATTGCTGCTAGTTCGACGGTCAGCTTAGATGGCAGCACTGTGTCACAGTGCTTCACAGGTGAGAGTGCCTGGTGACGAAAAGGAAACACAATCCACATTGTTGGGAACATAATTTTACCAACAATCTGGATGGTGTTACCTTCTCTACAGCAGACACTCTTACCTGTGAAGCAGTGCCTGGGGGAAACGATTCATTGCTGCTAGTTCAACCACCGCCTTGGGTGGCGGCACTGTTTCACAGGTAAGAGTGCCTGCTGTCGAAAAGGTAACACAATCCACATTGTTTTAAAAAATATATCAACAATGTGGATGGTGTCACCTTTTTGCACCCTTACCTGTAAAGCAGTGCCGCCACCTACCCCGAGCCAGTACCTCGTTGAAGACTTCACATCTCAGAAACTGGAGCTTGAAATCCTCGGTTGGTATTGTTGGAAATTGTGAAGGACAAGATCCAAAAGCCAAGCTCAGTCAGGCTGAGCTGTCACACCAAACATTCTGATTGTGAACGGGTCAAACTACGCTTCTTGCTAAGTTGGATTGTCTCGTCGGCGGCATCAAACGCATTCAACTTCTCTGCAATCAACTCAGCAATCTCTTCAGGGTTCCATTTGTTGTGGACATTGTGGCTGAATTACTCCACTGTGTGTAATTGGTTTGGAGCAGTGTTGTGTCTTCGAGGATCTTGGTGTGCTCTTTAGGATTGGTGTGCACTTTAGGGTGGTGTGCTCTTTCGTCATCAGGATTGGTGTGCTCGAAAACGAAAAAGATAATACTTACGGCACTTGAAGCATTAAATGTGAAGCACACTCCCAAGCATCTTTCAAGCTCCTCAATCAACCAAAATCTTTCTCAAGAAATCCTTGGTTGGTCATTGGTCATCGCCCTTGGCGCTTGCGTCGAGTGGATAGTATTAACAGCTTATGGCTGGCTTATCGAGATTGAGCGTCCACCATTATTTTCAAAATAAAAAATAGGGTGGTCGTACCGCAGTCTACGGTCGGTTGTCGGTTGTGCTGGTTTATTCGTAAAAAGGTTCTTTCGTCGAGCCAAAGCCTTTTTTGGCCTCTTGGATATCTTTTTCCGTGACTACGAGTGCCCAGTACCGGTAGTCGCGCATCCAAGTTGACTTACCGCTACGAGTTGACACAATCAAGACAACCATCCAACTGTCTCCCAAGTCCCAAGCTTTCTTGCTTGAACCCACCGGTACGTCCCTCCCAACATCCACACAAACACGCCAAATACAGCACTCTTAGTTTGTTTTAGTAAAAAGACAAAGAAAGACAAAATGGTCCCCACAATCAACGGCGGCGAACCCCCCAAGCCCATGCCCATGGCGATTATGCGGAACGCCCACGAGGTGATTCGAGGCGGCATGAAGGACATTCAGACGGCCCTGGACAAGAACCGATTCCAAGATGCGACCACACTGTATCAAGATTTGACGTTTTTTAATAACAAGCACCTGCTGATGGAAGAAGGCGTGGAAGGTGGTGCCAAGGGTCTCTTTCAAATGATGGACGATCATGCCGATGGCGCCGCCACGAAAGCCGGGTTGCGAGAGCGTCACACGGTCTTGACCAAACTGGAATTCGAATTGGAAGAACACTTTGTCACGCATCCCGATTTGATCAAGGTCAAGACGGCGTGGGCGAATTTCCAAAAGGAAAATGAGGCTCATTTGGTATTGGAAGAATCCATTCTCATGCCGTGTGTCCAGCAGATGGTCAAGTCGGGAAAACCCGTCAAGAAACTCATGAAAACCTATTTTATGCCCGTGCTCACGGAAGATGATGCCGTCATGGAACGTTTTCTCAAATTCGGAAACACGGTCTTGGAACGACACGATGGAAACATGCCACGAGTTCGAGTCTTTGATCAGGCGTTCTGGGCCGTCGCCACTCCAGCCCAATGGGAACAGTGGAGCCTGTGGATCAAGCAAAGTTTGACACCCAACAAGTATAGACAGGTCATGGGGGAAATCAAGCTGTGGATTGATGAGCAAAACTCGGCTTGGGCTTAGCTAAAACAAAAGCAAAAGCAAAAACAAAAACAAAAAAGAAGAAGATTATCTGTTGTTGGATCATGGATGACATTATGTGGCGTTGCGTGGTATAATTGACACGCTCTTTTTTGGATTTTATCAAGGCATGACAATGGCTGAATTAATCAATCAGTCCAATCGAACAATCAACATGCCGCCTAAGGAAACAAAGAGAGAATGAAGTATTTGTGTTGGGAAAAGTTTTTGAATATCTGAACTATGCATGTGTGGAGTTGCGTTGGTCAGAAGGTCCTGGTTGCTTGATCATGCTCTATCGAAAGGCCCATCTGATGTTACTTGATGTTATTTTTGCGGCATCTTTTCAGTCTTATTTGTACTGCTAATCTTGTCGGTTCAAACTTCGATCAATACTTGCCGGAATGGTCTTTGCAGGTGACGTGCTCTTCCATCCCATTATTTATTTGTATTCTAGCTAGCCAGTAGTTGCCGCAATGAACCATCTTTCAACTAGCTAGAAGATCTATGAGAAGGAAAGGCATGGTTGTTCGAGTACAACCACTATTAACGGCGTACAGTGCTGGAGCTAGCTAGATGAGTGCCACACTCGTTTCGCCCATGTCTGCCTACTTATCGTTTCCACCGACTAGGCCACCGGATGCTTGACAGATTGTGCTTTGATTGTCTTTGCAGTGTCTTTCAAATCTTCTCGCTACTGTGCGGCACTCGTAATAGCCTGAACATATGCATAGATTGCATCACTCGGATCTTTTGGTGCTGCCAGAAAGCGTCATGGTGCGAAAATCTCCGATTCTGATGCGAGCAAGTGGTGGAGGTAAGTCCTCGTCTAGCTATGAGTTCGTGACAATCATCGAATACCGAACATTGCCTTCTCTGACCATCAGAAAGATAAACTGGTCGCCAACGTACTTTGAACCATCACTGTCGTGCTGAGGTTTGTGACGGAAATGGTTCTTCAAACGCCTCTGCCGTTGTTGGCGTTTCTTGGTCAAAACTTGACGACCGTATGCAACGGCTTTCCTCTGCAACTCATCGCTCATGGCCGGTATTGGGCTGAAGTGGTCGTCACGGCGAAATCTCCTGCTGTTGCAAGTGCAGCTGCTGCCCATGTTTGCCGACGTGTACGGATCAGCGGCTCCATAGTCCACTTGGTAACCCATGTCTTGCAGCGATGCAATCGTAATCCGGCTCAGTTGAAACGGTGTAGACCCGTCGGCGGCGTCGACCAGCATGGGTGTCATTAGCTCCTCTTGCAAGCACGACTCCCCCCAGTGCTGACATGAGTCTGTCTCTGGCATGGGAATCTCCGCCGTTGAACAACCACTAATGGATTGGAATTCTGCAGTTGCTGCCGAGCCACTGTAGGAGCAGGGTGGCGTGGAACTATCGATCAGGCCCATGAAGATCCATACAGTTCCAAAACCAACCGAATGAAACATCTCATGCAGCAAAACTGCCGAGGGATGGTTTGCAACCGATGGATTCAGGCTAATGAATCCAATGTAAGGCAACAAGTTGCCTTCACCGAATCGGACCGAGTCGTACCCGCCTGTTCCTTCTACAAAGTCGGGCAACGAGTCATCCATTTGGTTGCAAATCCACATGTCGTCGATTGTCGAGGGGATATCTGTACATTGATAATGGGCGGGGATATCATCAATAGTTGCGGATTGATCTGGCAAATCGCCGACAATGACACTCTCAATTCGACTGGCAGCTTGTTGCATCTTGCTCTGAAGTTCTGTCGGAAAGTTGGAAGAATACGACATGTCTATAGAGTATTCGGACCTTCCTTGTACAACGTCAGGTTGCGGAATTGTCAGGGTGGCTCCGGGGGTGGGGGGATTGGTTGGCGCTCTCGTCGGAATCGGGTGGGGGGATTGGTTGTCGGAACGGAGAAGGAATAGGCGTTGGTTTCGTCGTAGTGGGCTGAGCCGTGGGTTTTGGCGTGGCAGTGGGCAACGGAGCTTTCGCGGTTGGCCTTACTGTCGGAAACGGAGATGGCTCCAGGGTTGGAGATGGGGTAGAAAGAGGGATTGGCGGAACTGAAGAAGGAAGGGGAGAAGGCGGTCTAGTGGTTACTTTCGCTGGAGCACTGGTCGGTTTCAGCGCTTCATCTTCGCTCAAAAAGTATGATGGATGAGCAAATTCATCCCCACTAGACGACTGAAACGATTGTGGTCCATATCCATGGGCGCTGTCAATCATTGACATTTTCATGCTTTTTCTCCTCGATTTTTTGGACATGTGAACATAGCTTTTCAAAGTGGATTGAGTGCTTGACTCTTTTTTCTCTGATTTGCTGCTTCTTGTGTACTGGTTGGATCGACCAGAGTCCTTAGCTGGTTTGGGCCAAGTAGCATATCCGTCTTCCATGGAGTTTGGCTGACTTTTCCTTGTTCCTGACGCGTAATGTTTGGCTGAATGATCGCGGGAGTAGTCAAGCTTGGGTTCACCCTCAGCCAGTTTCGACCTTGTTTCTCCACGTACGTTGCCCTTGTACATCTTCTGCTTGTTTCTATTTTGATTTGTGATACGCCGTGTTCTGTCACCTTTGGTAGACCCATTTTTCTGATCAGGCATCGACATTGACGCCGATAGTGCCAGAGCGACGGAGGAAAGTAACAGCAGCGAAACTAGACGAATGCGATTCATTCTCATTGTCGATCTCTTGGCGTTGGTTGGCGACGCAGTTCGAAGTTTCGACTACAATGCATTACAGAGTTGATTCAGTGATCGAAATGGGTTTTGGGATGGCAATGTAACATCCAGAAATTTGGATACTGGGGCTGCCTGGCTCCTCGGTCTTGTTGTGGGTCAAAATTTGGCGGAGAATGAAAGGGCGCGGGAGTCAATTTCAACCTCGCCGCGACACGCTGTTGTACCGGTACCAGCGGTAGCGGCAGGGTCACCGCTACATGTATCGCTATGGTACCGCTACCGATACGCAACAACACAGCGAGGTCTTGGGCTCTCTGTAGCTAGCTAAGGACCATCCTGGGATATCTTCGGCCAAATGTCCCCAACCGTCTCAAGACATTCTCTATGCCTGCAGGAGAACGAACTTTACAGCCAACTCTTCCTCTAGCTAGGCCACCCAAGCAACAACGGCAGCGTACAAATATCAAGCTCTGCTAGCTAGATCTGTGCCATCAGTGCAAATCAAACAAGAAGTTACGGGAAGATACGAAAGCACCCACTCTTAGGCCGTGTTTGGGAACCCCAAAACTCAAAGCCATGATAGCTAAGATTGGCAACAAACTGAGATCTATTTGCATGATTAAATACAATGAGTTCTTGATGGATTGGGACTTTTAACAATCCTTGACTGCTTCAATATTTGCCTCTGCATTGAGGCATGGTGCAGTTTGCATTACTTCTCCATAAAAACCACCTGACTGGTTGGTGATATCAGTGACGACAGATCTGACATCAGAGGTTGCAGTGTTGACCCAGTTCGGTTGCAGTTCGGCCGTGCCTTTGCTTCAACGAGATCTTCCCTTGCTTTCAACTAACTTCGTTTGCCAGCATCTCGAATCAAAGCTGCTGTTGCCTCTGACGCTTGGATCTGGTTGGGCGCCCCAGTGGATTCACAGCGAGCAGTTGTGTTGACTGTACAACAAGGATAGTTTTAGTTAGATCCTGATGACTTTGGCGTTGTTTGTGTTGTTGTTTGGGACGTGCCCTTTTCAGCGAAAGCAGCCCATCATGCAAATCCCCAGAATCCAACGCTGCGGTAGCGGATGTGTCAGAGACGATCCGGGCATGGTATGCCCCACAATAATCTTGCAATTGCCTTCGGAAGATTCCGACTCTTGCAATTACCTTGCGCCAAAGTAGGCAGTTCCTTAGTTGTGGCTCCAAAAAGAATAATAATAATAGGCAGAGCTACTACATCCGGCGCAGTGTCTCGTTCTCAAATTTTTGTCGTTGTTCGGCATGCCAATCATGCAGGTACATGAGACCTGTTTTGCCCGATTTCTCTTTGTTGGCAGCTTGGTAATCGGTGACATTCATCATTTGCCAGGCCTTGTTCTTTTGACGACCGAGGGCAGATCGTAGGAGCCAATCGGCCCCCGTTCTCCGAGTCCCCACAACCGTGACACTGCGGTTGTGTCCAAATGTGCCAAAGTATGTTCCTGCATCGGGATACCCGTACTTTTTAAAGAACCAATCGGGTGATTTGCTGTTTGCTCCCATGAATCGTAGAAATGCTCTTTTTGTGGCACCGGGACCCGTTGAAAATGGCAGGTAGATTTTTCCGGTATCATCGACCTGGTGCATTTCTAACAATGATGTATTTGTTGTAGGTTGTGGTACATGTAGGTTGTGGATTTGCATTGATTTGCATTCATGAGGATGATTGGATACAGCGTCAGTCAAACCCTGCACGAGGAGGATAACAACAGAATAATAGTCAAGGGTACGTACGTTCCATGACATCATGAACTGCCAGAAACATCATTGGATGTCGTGGCGATACGGCAAAGAAGAACTGGCTGATGAATCCTCCCCCTTCTTGCAAAAAGAAGGCATCAATGTCGGGAGTAATGGTTGTCTCATTCATGAGAGGGCCTGGTAGGTTGTCCATATCTGTATATATTCCTCCATATTCCCACAGGACAACGTATCGCCACAAGTCCGCCAATGCAGCTACACAGAAAAGTAGAATGCAAAACATGCACACAACAACAAAACAGAAACAAGTGAGCACAAACAAAAGCAAAAATCACGAGGCAATCTCACCAACCACAAAAAAAGAATCCTCCATTAATATTTCCTTCCAACAAACAAAATATACATCACTCAATTCAATGCAACTCACCTCCCCCGGAATTTTTGAGGCACTCCCATGCATTTTTCATTTGTGGAAATTCGGGCCATTCTCGTTCAAACAATATTTTGTGTACGGCTTGATCGTCGTGATAGTAAAAGGAATGATTGGGAAACGTCCATGCGTGGGCTGCTTCGACAAAATCTTTCGTGGTGCACTTGTGTTTGCCCGTCATGTGGACAATCTTGGGAATCTTGCGTCCTATTCCGAGATCGGCGACCGGGTCAGAGACTGATGGAATGGGTTGGAGCCATTGGTTGAGTTTGGTGCAATCGACTTGCTCGTCGACTCGCACCAGTTCTGGAAGGGGCACAATGTTGGTTCGATAGGGATTTTGATTATTGTTGGTTTTTGGAGCGGATGTGCTGGTGGTTGCTTCTGTTGAGGCTGTGGTATCTTGCGGATTGTTATTGTTGGTGATACCCAAATCGGTAAAATCCAAGCTGCTGCTCATATTGGTCATCGCTTGCACAATGTTGTCAAAGTTTAAACTTTTCTGCACGCCCTTGACATCCATGTACTCTTGGATGAAATTGGAAAGGGTAAACAGGAGCAACACACCCGACACACAACGCAGAATTGACATTCGTCCCTCATCCTTTTCTTTGGAAGACGAGCCCTGCATCGGCATTCTCTACAGATCAGATGGACGGTAGAAGAGAGACGATACAAGATGACAGGATGACAAGTTATTAATTATTACTGGTAGCACCTTGCTTTGGGTTGGTTGCCTTGCACAAACAAAGCGAGAGGTCATTGTCGTTTTAGCGAAGTTGAAAAAGGCCGGCGATGGCTTGCTGGTGGCTGTGTCACTCTGCCTTGGATTGGATCTTCGCAAAATAGCGCGAGTAGATCCAGTCGTGTGGCGTCTTTCTTCACCTGAAGCGACTTAAGCATGCGCGACCAATCATTAATCTTTCCTGCTCCCTTCTCTCCAACCGGTACTAGCTAGTACGATGTAATTGTAGACTAGTGCATACCAAGCCAACACTGACCCAACGACGAAGAACTTAGTCCTTTCAGCCTGAATTCAAGCTGCTTTCGCAGTGACTCTCAATCGAGATGCCGTGATGATGGCAGCCAGCATGCCGCTCACATGGCGTTCCTCGATCTCCAAGTGCAATGAGCAAAGGTCTCGGCAAGACCTTAGAAATCGTTGGTTTGATCATGGCCACACTTCCAGAGCTCAAGGCCACAGTTCGGCATCGCACAGGAGATACCTATGAAGGGGAAACCTATTATTCTGCAGCCAGTGAAGACGAAAAAGAGTGCATCACCCACACTGCACTGATCATCGGACCCCCAGGTTTAGAGGGGCAGGTACTTCCGGAATTGAAACATAGCTTACCTTGTGCAATGTGGCCAGGTCATAAATACTGCTAGCCCTTTTGCTCTCTTTGGCCTCATTCAGTGGCTCCATGAAATTGAGAAGGCTGTGGGGAAACAACCCTCACGGTGTGCTTCATGGCTGCCCAGAGTGGAAAAGTGAAAAAGTACCTTCCCCACCTCCAAACCACAACCAAGGGGAAAAGTCAGAGGATGAAGACAACTGGGATTTGATCCGAGGGGCGGATATCTTGGTGACTACGTACGGCGCTCTTGAAAAGCCCAAAGCAGCAAGAAAGCTGCAGGATGTCATGTGGGGCAGAGTCGTGCTAGACGAGATGCAGGAAATCGCATCTCCAACAACGAAAACCGCAAGGAATTGTGAACATCTTCAATGTGATCGGAGGTGGATGCTTAGCGGCACTCCAATCTACTCAGGCATCAAGGACCTCAGAGGGGAACTGAACATGCTACGACTTGAACCGTTTGGTGCCAATTTTGACTCTTGAAAAGACCAAAGCAGCAAGAAAGCTCCAGGAAAGCAAAGGTACTTCACGTTCTACGTCGTGTGAGCGTCGATCAGAGCGATTCATGATGGGTTGCTTTGTAGCTACCGGTACTGGTACCGTCGACCTAGATTGATTGAATACTGCACTAACTAAAGTAAAGGAACAAGTTCTCACTCATAAAGTACTGTTGCCTACATAAGATAGATGCACACCATCTACCGTAGCTACAGTTGTACTCGTGTTGCTCGACTGCTTTCCCTTTGTTTGCTTTTTGACTCGACTTCTCTTTCTCACTCAACGACCGCCACGTCCAAATCCTTTGTTGCGTCCTCGACTTGCTCGTCCCCGTCCTCGGCCACCACCATGGGAGCGGGTTCGGTATCGTACATCCGTATGAGCTCTGGGATTCTGGAGAATCATGCGATATTCGTGGGGTGACACCTGTTTCCCAAAGAGTTGATTGGGCCCCTTGGTGGGGTGATCCATACTGGTTTTGATGGTTGCCGTGCTGTAGTACCAATCCAACTTGACCAACACGGTGCTTCCATCGTTATTCTGTAGTTCCTTTTCAAAGAACTCCACGTAGCTCTCTTGGATAGAACCGGTAAACGTCCATCCGCCCACCTGTGAGAAGGGAGAAGAGAAGAGTGAGTCAACCGTACATGTGTGGCAATTTCTCGTGTGTGCATGTTCACGGCTGCCTACCATTGTTGGGTCAGGATAGTCCTTGAAGGGGACCCGAATGTTGTGATACGGGCTACGAAGATCATTGTACCGGTTGGCAGCGACGACCTTATTCTCAATGTCATCATCGTCATCCTCTCCTGGATGAATGTGTTGCGCGGCAACTCGTTTGTAAATGGTTTGGGAGCGTTTGTAGGCGCCGTCTAGACTGGATTTGATAGTTTCCAAACGACCCATGGCAACCTCCAGAGCTCGCAGTTCCCGTTCATTATCCTTTCGCATTTGAGAATAGTCATTCTTGGGGCGGGGGTTGTTTTCCCATCGGTCTCGGCCAAGGCGGGCCTTGACTTCATCACGGCTTTCCCACTGAAATTGATTGTTTGCGCACCAAGTACCGTATAGAGAACGGGTTACTACCATGTACAAAAGCTGACCAAGAAAATAGAAAGAAACTTACCTGAGGCGCCAATCGGTTTTGTAGATACTCCAAACGCCGCGCCGCGAATCCTTCATATTGCTGTCGTTCTCGGGTGGCATGTTCCAAGGCAATCATGACAACCTGTGCATCATCTCCCAGTTGATGCATTCGGAGGATTCGTGTGGGTTCAATTGCTTCATGCAGCGCAATAATCATGACTCCATCATCGTCGTCGTCGTCATTGTCATTGGCCGCTGGATAGAGACTTCCATATTCTTCATCGGCGAGGAGCAATGCCGCGTGCAGACACTCCACCACCTCCGCATAGGCATCGACTCCTTCGGTCCAGTAGCGGTCATCACGATCGTGGCGTCGCATGTTGGTGACACGCGCGTGGAGTTCAGAGAGCGTGGTCAAGACACGCACTAAGAGACGGCGCATGGTCATGAGCCGAACAGGAGGAGGCGTCATTGCCGGATCTTCGTCATTGTTTTCTTCCGCTTCTTCTGTCGACTCTTCTTCATCCTCATCCTCATCGTCATCGTAATCTTCAAATGCCGCAAAGGGATTTTGAGTGGCAAAGGGAGACGTGGCCATGACAACCGCAGAGGGCACGAGACCGCCAAAATCCGAAAGCTGATTATTGTGGTTATTGTCGTTGTCATCATTTCCGTCCACTTTGGGTGGCATTTTCTTGGGCGCGCCGTACCACCTACGCTTTTGTCCTTCCAGAAATTGCCGACAAGCATCGAGGCGACGGATTTCCAAAAAGAGCGTCTCCTCGTCTCGAGCCGTCGCAACTTTTTGCCCGGCCAAAGCAATGGCACTGATCCAGGCATCGGTACAGCGCTGCGTTCGTTCCTCTCGCTGACGAGCACGGCGCTCCGCAGGGTCATCGACGACTCGGGTGAGACTAGTACTAGTATTAGTATGCATCATAGGAGCAACCGCAACCATTGTAGATCCGACCATGGTCAACAAGAACAAACAATAAGAACAGTACAGTCTGATGAATATGCAATGATTGCAATGTTCGAGGCAAAGGGCAAAGGGTTCTGAGTTCTGAAGAGCAGAAAAGATCCAGCAAAAATGAAATTGTAAAATTTACTTTTATAAAAAACACTTAGTTAAAAAAGGAGCGATTTTGTCTCCAAATAGCCATTTTCATCAAAAATCAATCAGGGCACACGAAAGCACTTTACTGGAGAAACCACAAATTCATTGGCCGCTATCATGGACGATGCCAGTGCGGTATTTGTTTTAGCTAGCTAGCCAACTCGATGCAAAGCTTTAAATTAAAATCAATGGTCTAGCGGATCAGCTCCTTGCTAGCTAGCTAGCTAGTGGTACGGTACCGGTAGTCCTCCTCAGATAGAGCCAGCCTTCCTTTTGAGTGTGCCATCTATTCTGAAAGCTTTGTGAATATTGACCAAATCCTTGCGGTAACCGCTCTGGGATCCACTTTGGACCGTGCCGTCAAACTAAAGAATCGTTCTTGTAGATTGTTGGCTCCTCCTCGCACAAGGAAAAAGACATAGATTGTAGGCTGTTTTTCATCCGTCGAAGTCGCCCTCTTCATTTTCTCCTTCATCATTGTTGTCAGGTGGATCATCGTTCGTCGCTATTATCGGTTCGGGCAGTCGAAAGGTAGCTTCGTGATGATATCTCACTCGCAGAAACGATAGACAGGTCCTCAGCAGCCGTTCCGCTGCCACGGCTTCACTGGGGGCCTTGAACATGGCATCTATCCGTCCATCGTACCCTGCAAAATTACATCCCACACGAATAATTTCGGCCAGCGGGCCCATGAACGACTTGAAAAAGGCGTGTTGCATGATGGCAATGGTAGATGTGTGCAACCAAGAACACTCCTTGTACTTGTGCGGATAGAATGCCGCAAAGTGGTGCCAACTACGGAACCAAAAGTCCATGTGAAAATTCTTGGCCGTCATTCCCTCACACTCACAGATATGCACTTGACCTTCTCGACACGCCATCAAATTGCAATGGCACAGCTGTGACAGATAGTAGCCTCCACCGCCCAGCCATATTCTCCAATCTTCTGGAAAGTCCACAGCCGATGGATTCAGGCGGGCGTAATCATAGACCAGAGTAAAGTGGCCCCGGTCGGGTTGATAGTCCACCGACACTAAAAACCAAGGCTGTTGTTCTTGCGTCAAGGCATGCAAGAGGGCCATTCCCTCTTCGACGCTGTCGTTTATTTTGTACTCTTTGCGAAATTCTTGCACTTTTTCCAACCGATCCACCGCATCGGCCACATTGCCTCGCGTCAATATGGCGCAATGAGCGTACTCGTAGTCCGACACGTCTTGCAATTGATCGTTCTGCTCGACATGTTCTCGAAACGCAGTCTTGACGGCATGGGCCCAACCGATTTCTTCTTCTGTCATGCTCATCGTCACTTCTCGGAGGGATTCCATTATATTATGGTCCGACTCGACTCGATCGTCCGCTGGAAAAGGAAGGACAGAAAGATATATAATTCGCCACAAGCGACGCTGCTTTTAAAAAGTCAAGATTGATTCAATCGAGACGAAGAAAGGCTGAGCCTCGTCAAGGCTTCGACTGCAAGATCCCAACTATAACTACAGTATGTGCTGGGTATCTTGTATATCAATCAATCAATACCGTGAGCTGAAGCTGGTAGCTGCGCCAACAACCAACAACAGTGGCAAACTAACACGCAAAAGCACAACAAACATCAAGCTGTGGTACCGTGGTACCGGTCAACGTTGTTACAGTACCATGGTACTTGGTCGTGAATATGTTGGCCAAATTAAACTATGGCCTCTTTTCGAAAGCAGCCCCATGGCGCCAGTCCCCAAGGCTTCACCTGTGCGGCCGTGCGGCCTCGCCTGTGCGCTGGATTGCTGCTCCACATTATTACCTTGTCAAATACAGTACACGTGTACTCAGTACTCAATAAATCTGTTCCTTACAAAGCATTAAAGTAGCTGTTGCACATAATCTTTTGGTTTTGCGCCGTAGCTCCAGATCCTCGAGATGGAACAGGGTTGCGGGCCCGGTCCGGACCCAATGGATAAGGGACAACCCTAGCTAGCTAGTCTAGATCCTTCTGTGGGACTTTAAGACCTGACAGGTCCATGAGCCCCTGATCCTGGTGTTTGCTCCTACAGTATGCCAAGCTGGAATTCTTGGTCTGGAAAGAATAAATAAATGGGATCTACAAGTAGGAAGAAATGGACCAGAGATGGTTCAGGAGGGGGCTCACCACGGATACTATTGCTTCACAGAAAAATAGAACATTATAAATAGTTGGAATTTACAGAGTACCTTTCTCTGTCCAACGGGCGGCGGGTGAGATGCCTCTACTTCTACTCTGCTGCCTATGGGCGAAAATGTGCCAAGCAACTGTAGCTACCATTGCTGCATATCGGAAGGGGTTTTCGATGCTTGCCTGGATCCTGACGCCAACAGTTGAATGACTCCAAAGTTGCGTCTATCTTTGCTTCTACATCTGAGAGTACTGGTAGTGGAATCATCTACTATTATACATGTAACAGCTAGTCCAGGCAGTTGACAAAGTCCGTCACGACGGTTTGGCCATGCAGCGGCACCGTCTCCCCTTTCCTTTGGTGCAGTGCACTATGGCTATGAATGGGATGACATGGAAGGACTTCCTTGCAGCTGTCGTTTGATGGACGACAATGTGATCAACTGGATGCAGTTACTATTTCTATCAGGAGTGAACCGAAACAACGTGCTCCTTCAGAAGCTCACTGACGACGACACGGCCAGCTATTGGGGTAATTCGTGGATGTCACGCGGAGCAGACCATGAGTGCTGCATGAAAGGATGAAAGGGCATAGAAGCTCCTCTCTTGCTCTCTTGGTATGAGGGCAACTATCCTTTGGCTGGCTCAGAAGAGATTCGCCCGTCTCACCAGATGACTTGCTCTGGTATTCTGTTGCGGTGACGAAACTCGAGAACAGCTTGCATACCTGACATCGTTCATCCATACCGTACCGCTACGCCCTACTAGCTAGACTAGCTCGAGCTTCATATTCAACTCTTTGGAACCGATGATCACTCGGCATACCGGTAGTCGAAGAAGCAAGCGGCTTCTAGCAGCTACCGGTGCAGCCGGAGCGAAGTGCGAGTGAGGAAGCTCGAAGAGCCGCACAGAGTGCTCTATGGCGAGGATAGTAGGAACGCTTTTGGTTAGGACCTTGGAGCCGGCTAGCCAGCCACCTAGGTCCGCGATAAGCTACATGCCTCATCTCCCCCCTGACCGGCCCCCAGCCAATCATTTGATCATTTGCTTTTCCAAAGTGGTTGTAATTGAGTTTTGGAGAGACAACTTGTAATGCTGGAAGGAGCCACCTGGCTTGTACTGGCATGTGATGGCACCATGTGATGGATGCCATCGTCATTCAGCTCGAGGACTTTGGTTTGGGTATCTCAGCCGTGCCTCTCATCACTGCATTGCGCCCATGCATCCTTCTTCTCAAACTTGGCCTGCATATGTCTCATCACAGTCTTTTTCCCAGTTGTCATACGCCATTTCAACGTCAGATTCTGAAGATATTATCAAGAGGTTCGTGAGATGTGAGATGGCACTGGACTTCGCAACCATGACTGCAATCCCCCTGTGAAAGCAAGAAAGTACTTTTGCAGATTTCCTTATTGTCATTCATTTGCCGAAGGCTGAAGAGTCTTCGCTGTAAGTCCGAGTACAATACAGTGTCCGCAATAAGGATTTTCTACTCTTTACTCTTTACACTTTTATATTTTTTGCGTTTTCGATAGGTGTGTCCGCAATGAGCTCTTTCACTTTTCATGTTTACACTTTTATCCTTTCCTTTTCTTCCTAGTGGATGCAAAATTTGCGACTGGTGTTGTTGGTCCAGTTCTACACGTCTGGCTGATTCTCTTTCTTCAAAGGCAACTTGTGCTTGTAGCAAATTCACCAGGTCGCCCATGGTGCACTAGCTAGACAGAGGTGTGAGTAGAGAGGACAGGGCAACAAGATAGCAAGTAGGGGAGAGAGGAGAGAGCAACAAGAGTGCGAGTGATGGAACTATGCTGTGATGGAAGTAGGTTGTGATGGAAATGGCGCCAATGCTGATAGTTTGAATTTTGGTAACTCCTGCCCAGGAAATATGAGCTCTCCAAAACAAAAAAGTTCGAAAAGAGGAGTCGCACTGGTTTGAATCAACAGAGAACAGGTGAAAAGAAGGCAAAAATCCGCAAATCTAGTTTCTACGTCGTCTACCTTTTTTGAGGTAGATGAGGTAGATTTACCTTTTACTCTTTCACTTTTTGAAATAGTGAAACTTTTGCCTGAAACAGTGAAACTACGTAATGTAAAGAGTAGAAAATACTTATTGCGGACACGGTAATACTCTTTCTTGCAGTACTCTCTACCGGGACTGAGCAATATCAGGTTGCTTTAGTACGAGCACAGGTATGCATAAGCGTACTGGAGTACTCGTCCGTAAGAGTGCCCCGACAATAAAAATTAAAGGCCAAGTTGCCAATAATTGTTTGATCAAATGAATTAATGGAGTGAAGAACAAGAATACCGAAGTCCTTCGTGTTAAGTCAGTATTTTTTGCTCTGGGTCACTGGGACACTGGGCATCAGAACTGCATGATCTTGGTGGTTCTAAAGACGGAAGCGAAGCAATCCAGAAGCTTTAGCCGGTCCTAATAGCCACTGTGGATCTGTGAACGAGGGCCAGAGGTATTTTTCTCTCTTGCCCCTCACTTCTCTTCATTCATTTGTTTTACCTGGTGCCCGGTACTTCGTCAAGCACGGAAATTGTAATCTGATATCCAGAAGCAACAACTTCGCCATGGCAGAAAGAGAAAACGAAAACGATCTGGCCTCTGGCCATGGTGCGAGGGGTGATGCCACCAGACGAGAACAGGACATGGAACTTTTTGAGGCCTCCCTTAGTACATCCCATGCCACCAACAACCGAGAGCCCACAAAGGAAGATCCTGTGCTGGATTTGGCCAAGAAAGAGGACAAGGCTGTCTGGGTCTTGAGACTTGTGGTCTTTTTCCTGTTAGCCTCTGTAGCCCTGGCAGTGTGTCTGCTGGTTTACTTCTCTACAAAATCCAGCCTTCAGGATGACTTTGAAACAGACTTTCATAAGCTGGCTGACAAGCTTGTGCGCGGTTTTGAGACGAGTGTCCACCAGCAATTTGCCATTATTGGGAATCTTGCCACAGATATCACTGCCTATGCCAAGAACCAAAATAAGAGCTTTCCATTTGTTACACTTCCTGACTATAATGTGCGAGCAGGAGAGCTGGCCGAGATAGCTGGTCTTGCAACCTTGGTATTGTTCCCTATGGTCGAAGAGACTGATCGAAAAGACTATGAAGCCTACACAGTTGCAAATCAAGGCTGGAAAGCTGATGCATGCACTGCAGAACTTGGTCTTTCCCCAGAAGAATTGGGGCCCATGCCTCCGATTGCAAGCAGGATCATGAACTTGACTCGCCAGCCAACTGTTGACGAAGCTCCCTTCTTCCCCATTTGGCAGATTCATCCATGTGTGAAACTACCAATTCAGAATACGGACTTGTTCCACACACCACTCTACTTTGGTCCCATCAGTCATGCCTTGCACAATCATCAACCTGCCATGTCAGCCAGTTTCGGATTTTGGGATAACCCTAACGCAACTGATTGGCGCCTGCAAACCTTCCGAGATATCCCTGCCATGCAATATCAAGATGATCCTGTCTTGCCTGCCTTTCAGCCCGGTAAGTTCATAATGGTTTCATTTTGGTTATCTTTGGATCCGGACACCAGCCTTACCATTCTCTGTCATTTCAGTTTTTGATGACTTTTATGATGATGGCGACGAGGATGCAAAGGTGAAGGCTGTACTGCTGGGAGGAGTCTATTGGAGGGATCAGTTTCAGCGAATCTTACCTGAAGGGGACAATGGCATTGTAGTGGTATTGGAAAACACCTGTGATCAAGTCTTCTCTTACCAAGTCGATGGCCAAGATGCAGCATTTCTGGGTCCAGGTGATCTCCATGACACCAAATATGATTATCTTGAAGTGGGTATTGAAGTTGTTGTTCATGGCAGAGGTGGGAAAGAAACCATGAAAATGTTTGCTGGTGTTTGTCAGTACAGTATTCGTGTCTACCCTTCTGAAATCTTTCAAGACAGCTACATTTCCAATCAACCTTTGTATCTCTCCCTGAGCCTTGCTGCTGTCTTCATACTGACTTCAGCATGCTTTCTGGTGTATGACTTTTGTGTGGAGCGCCGTCAGAGAAAGGTCATGAAGTCTGCACAGCAGTCTGGCGCTGTTGTAGCATCTCTGTTTCCTGAGGCCGTTCGCAGCAAACTATATGAAGAGTTGCACCAAGAACGAGAATCCAAGGTGGGCAGACAGCACTCTGATTGGAAGGACAGATCGAATGAGCCTAAATCATCTTCTTTGACTATGGAACCCAAAGCCTCAGTCAATGCACACTTGTATGCTGAATGCACAGTGTTTTTTGCTGACATTGCTGGATTCACGCATTGGACTTCAAGCAGGTCACCAGAGGATGTCTTTGACCTCCTTGAGAGCATCTACGGAGCCTTTGATGCAAGTGCCAGGCGTCGTTCTGTCTTCAAAATTGAGACCATTGGAGATTGCTATGTAGCATCGACAGGCATACCCAATGCCCAGAAGGACCATGCCGTGAGGATGGCAAAATTTGCAAATGACTGCCTATCAATCTTCCATGCCTTGGTACAAACGGAACTTTCTGAGAGGCTGGGAGTTGATACTGCAGAACTTGGCTTACGAGTGGGTCTCCATAGTGGCAGTGTGACTGCTGGTGTTCTGCGTGGAGAGAAAGCAAGATTCCAAGGTAAGTCACTATGTATCAGTATGCTTCTTTGTGCTTTGCTTTTGTCATCATGATCTAACTAAGACTCTCCTTGTTGTTCTGGTGCAGTTTTTGGAGATACAGTCAACACAGCTGCTCGATGTGAATCCACTGGGGTACCCAACCGGATCCAAGTCTCAGAGGTAACAGCAGCTTTGATTCGAGATGCTGGCAAGGGAGGTTGGCTGAAAGCAAGGGAAGATCTCGTTGAAGCAAAAGGCAAGGGCAAACTGCAGACATACTGGCTGAATACTTCAAACTCAGATGCCAGGTCTGTCAATACTATTGGCACCAACCAGTCAGGTGATGTTTTTGGAGATGAAATCGAAACTGCACCAACTCAGAGTGCATAGGCAAATCTTGAAACAGCGGGATACATGGATTGTTAGTCCAAAATTCCTTAGATCACTTTACAATAGAAGAAAGTAGCAAACCCCTGAATGACACTGTTTCCTACTGTTAATACCTGAGATCCCTTGGCAGGTAGAATAGAGGAGTACTCTCGTTCAATGAGTTCAGCATGTTGCGTCCACCACGCGGCAATATCCTGGCCAAATTGCGAGTATAAACTTCTTTGTAGTTGCCAATTGCGTTGACTGCGTCTCGGAACATTCTCTGCAGAGCTGTGCCAAAGACATCAGCAAGTGGCATCTCATTTGAATCCCCCTGGAAAATACCCTTTTCCTCTGCATACACTATTGACTGGGCTGTCCACCAGACAAATGCTGACCATTGGGTGTCATCTTGTCTTGTGGCAATGCACAAGTTTTCATCGAAGCTGTCAACCAAACCAGTTTTCAGAGCGTTAGTTATGGTTCATGCTGCCAAAGCAGGTGAAAATCACTTGTTATGAAACTGTACCTGGAGTCATCTGCGGGGGCATAAAAATAAGGCTGCGAGAAAGAGTAGCCTGTGTTGGTTGTGGGCTCCCTCACATCATTTTCTAGGGTCCATTCCACACCAACCAGGACATCAATAACACCAGAGTGCAGCTCTTCAAATCCGCTGGAATTGTTGACTTTGTGGAATTGTAAAGCCTGAAACTTCCCATTGAAGAGACTGGCTGCAAGTGCATAGCAGTAATCGACATCCATGCCATCCCAATCTGATCGTGATGTACTGTACATGGCAAAGCCAGGCCTGCCACTCCTCACACCACAGCACAACACACCGTTGGCTATAACGCTCTCAAGCGTACCACCCTTGAGCGACTGACGATCACCAGTCGGGAGTGCCCCAAGATTTCCAAGGGGGGGAGATGCTAGCATTCCACCAGTTCTATTATTGACAAAATTTCTGCCAGTTGTTTGCCTCATAATCTCAAATGCACCAGCAAAAGGGTCCCCTGATCTGACAGCATGAATGAACATGTTTTTGTACATCTCGCCGAACAAAATCGTCTGGCCCATCCGTCCTGCTGTTTCCTTTGTGATGCCATAGTGATGGGCGGCAAGGAGGGCAAGCGTCACGGCTCTCAAGAAATCAGACCATTCAGGGTCACTATCGAGGGAAACAAATGAAAGCATGCCAGAAGTAAAGATCCTTTTTCCTAAAGCCAGGTCACCGGTATACCCCAAGGTACGCAGCATTTGAGGGATTATGTGGGGAGTTTCAGTACCCATCACATTACAGTTGTCTTTCAAAAAGTTCTCGAATAACAGAGTTGCACGGTCAACAACAACAACTTGTCTGTGCGGGACTCTCTGAAGGAGTTCTTTCAAGAAGAAGGTATTCCTGTTGATGCATATCTTCAGACCACTGCATTCGCCAACTGTGTTGAAGCTGTCATCCGCACAGCTGACAAAGGAAGGGACGCCCGCGAACGACAACCCCATAAACTGATTGGGGGTGGCATACACCAGACCTTCACCTACCGTAACCTAAAGCCAGGCGAAGTGACAAAGTGAGTAAAATGATCTTTACGGAAAGGTGCAATTCCAGTTGGCGATCCCGTGTCGTATAGCGAACCTCAAAAACATCTTGGAGCATGTTCATGGACATCCGACCTGCAAGCATCTCCGCGCTCTGATTTGCCAACACTGCGTACATATCTCCCGCGGGGACCGGAACAAATTCAAATGTTGCATTCTCTCCGAGTGCAGCGGCCGCCACAGCTCTACCCTATAAACGTTGACGAGGTGAGAAGATTTCCGTCACGGAAGGCATCTTCTTGACACTGCTTCGTTGAGCCTTACCAAGCCGGCGCCAAAGGTGTCGAGGCGATCACCACCCGAGCTTTGCGTGTCCGAGAATTGCTGGACAAAGCTCGGCGCATCCGCATCAACCGCAAAACGGACTACTCCATTTCTTTGGATGCGTTGCAACGCTGACAATTTCCTCGAGACAGAACCTTCGTCATCTTTGGAAACATCGTCTTTTGGGCCAAGCGGCGCCTCTTCTTCGCCACCGTTCGACTCGAGACGCATCTCCGAAAACAACACAATCACTCCAATAACCAGGCCAAGTATGACCAGAGCTAAGAGGCCAAAACCAACCAGCACAGCACGTTTAGAAAAGTATTTGTTCAGGGGCAGAGGTTTCGCTTCTGCTTGAACATAAGTTTCAGGGCCGTCGTGTGATACCAGCGTAGCTTCTGGGACAATGGTTGTTCCTGCGTCGTGGCAAGCGTGTGAATGCATTGGGGATTCGGGATGATGATTACATGTATTTTGTTGAGAAACTGTCCCAATCAGGAGGTTTGAATCAACAAGGGAGTTGTGATGTTCCTCTGCTATACCTGGCCCACAAATCGCATAGCTTCCAGGCAAGGCCATTGGAACCCGGTCGGCCTCCGAGTAACGAACCAGACGGGGTGCTGGCATTTCTTCGTCGAACTCCACGGAGGTTGTCGCGGCACCAAAAGAAGGTCCTTCATGGTTTGACATGGCAGAGTCCAACTCCTCTGTCTTGACGTTTTTGGGAGAGTTGGTAGCCTCGACTCCTGGGTGTAGCTGGTTTCCTTTGGCCATAGAGCCAGAGTGACAGTCCTCCACCTTCCCAACGTCCTTGGTCCCTCCTTCAGCGGTTGGTTCTGGCCCTATGACCACAGGAAATGGAACTCCAATATCCAAGGGATCTTTGTGCACAACGGATTGGCAAAATCCTGCACATGTTGCCCGCTGCTCAGCCCACGATGGCACGGTTGGTTTCTGCTCATCGCGATGACTCATCTTTTCCTGATGTACAATCTCTGCGGCAATGTAGAATGTCCTTCAGTCTACTGGATAGTCCAGCCCTGTTTGCCTCTCCCTGTCAACTAGACCTATACGTGTTGCCAAAGCAGATCGACGCGGCACTTCCCTCGATCTCTCTTCTGGTCTTCCGCAGAGCGACCGAAACCCGTTTTCGACTCGAAGAGACCAAGCAATCAAAGAACGAGGTTACCAGTGCAAGTATGACAGCTCTATGACCAAGACAGCAAGCCTCGGTGGTACGGGTATTGGTACTAGTACCTTTCAGGAGTTGTGGAGCTTGCAACGTAGGCAAAGCGTCCATGAGACTCCATGAGTTACGGCACTCTCCGAAAAACCAAGCGGCATCCCGTTCATGTATGTGTCTTCAAGGTTGGGATTAATTAAAGCCTTACTGTTAATTAATAGTAGGATTTCCTAACTCGAAGAACTAAAATTATCGTGTGATTTGACACGCAGTCCCAGTTATGATTTAGAGGACTGTACTTAAGCAATATTTTGGAGGCGGATTGCCGTTGGAAGGAGCAGACATCTTCTCCTATTTAAAGGAAAATTTTGTTCAAGAACACCATAATGTACATCGGAAGCAGTTTGCGCCAAAATTCAAAATCAGTCAACAGGTATGAACTTTAAACCGCAGTCTAAATGTTCTCACCACCGGCAGTTAAAAAAATTCTGACACCCACTCGCTAGCAAGAAGACCCTCACGACCACCAGTTAATTCCTATAATAGGATCCGAGAATTCTGAGAATCCTCCAAACCCACACCGGCGAGCTTTGAAAACGCACACATAATCACACACAAAAACGCAAATGCACTACGCTAAAAGCTAGTGTAAAGATCTTTCGAGTGTTTTGAGTTTGAGAGAATGAAAGTTATGAGAGGATTAGAAAGCTATGAAAACTAATCGACGAGAGAGATCCACAATCAAAGGATCGTAGATCTGAACTCCGCGGGAGACTGTAAGAAGTGTGATAGAGTAGGATCCTACTCATCACATCCACGTACTCCACGATCCAAAACGGAACGCGTGGAAGTTCGTCTAGCTTTATCTAGTAGCGTGGAACTCTCCACGCCAATATCTAGTCGATGTTCACCATCACCTAGTATGACTGCGGTCATTGAGAACCCTTCTCAATGACTATTCACGAAGACTCAGTCATGAGTCGAACTCAAACCCTATCTAGATCGATGCGAATAAGGCTAAGACGTGTATTGCATTCGCCCCTGACAAGGGTCACGGAAGGCACGACATCAGTCGGACAAGGAGAATATGAATTAAAGTGCGGGGCACTCTCCGGGATTGGATGTAGACATGTGCTCGCACGATGGCAATCTACAAGGGGATCAGGCCTTGTATGGGTGTTAAATACCTTATGTTCCAAGTCTGGTAGATGTGCCGCTATTGGCGGTAGTATGTCGGAGCCGTCAGTGCCATTGTTATTGACTCGGTCTGTGGTAAGGACCTTGTGCGTGGCTGACCGTATTAACGGTTCTGATACTGATGAATCATAGGTCGTTGAATGGTGTTGATGAGGGACACGTGCCGTTTCTCCTTATCGGGTTTTTCGGATAAGTCATCTCTCTCTTTTCC